CTGAACTGCTCCCTTCTGGAAGTCGGTTTTTCAATTGGTAATTGTCACCATGAGGTACTGGGCTCATAACTGTCACGCAGTCAATTTGCCCACCACTTATGGGGTAAAAAAAGATGCTTCCATTCATTAGAGACTGTCTAGGGGTTATTGGGTTGATTATATAACCGTCTATTCGGTAATTACCGATTTGAAGGTTTTCATGCACAAAATGACATCCCCGTTAGTTTTATATGGGAAACAATAGCCGGGTGCATGGGTTGAATGCATGCCCCGATATATGCAGTGGTCCGTGTGACAAAAATCGTAAAATCATAAACTTTACGGATAACTTTGACCCAGGCCGTGCCTCTCATTGGCTCATGAGCCCCATATCGAATTTGCTTAGTCAGTTCCATGGGTACCCGTGAGCCTATTGGGAGCCAATTCACATAGCACCCTTATGTAAGCATTTCACTCAATTGACGACCTCAATGATCAGATGGTGGATAATTGTCAGAAACAGCTAGAGTAAATCTCTTTCTTCTCTGGCACCTAATCAGACGGAGTCTAGGGTTTCCTATAATTTGTAGCAGAAGGCCTCTCATAAAACTCCAACTCTTTCGAAAATTAGACATGTTGTCCTGCTAGCAGACCCAAATTCCTGGTCTTGCACTAAATACATCTGTTACACGCTGGACAGGGCAACCAACTGTGGCACACAGCAAAAGCTTTGGCAATGACAAATCCGTTGTGATTATCACCTGTTCTGCACTATTAACTACGCCGTACATTGAACAACTGTACCGATCGTAACATCATTTACGGTCTGATCAGTGATCCGGGACAGAACTCACAGAGTTCGCTAGAGTTCGGGGGTGAACAAGAGGAAGAATCGCAAATCAAATGTATAGCACTCTTGGAGATACACTGCAGGTCGTCTGGCAAAGTCTCATTAAAGTAGTAGGGTTTGTACTGCTTATTTATGCCGTCATCCCCTATTTGATGGTCCCAGGGAGTTACAGTAGGTGAAGCTAGCGATGGTTCCTTGCGTTGCTTCTCGCGGCTGAATGAATTTATAAGTCCGCGATGACCCAAGTGGCTTGTAACTACAGGAACATCCCCTCTTCACACATTTCTGGCCTGTTTCGTCAGCTAACTTCTGCATTGATCATAGGAGTTATCTTACATGTTGGCTGAGTTTCGTCACATTTTATTCTGCGTTCCCGGCAAGTAAGACAACCGCTCCGCGTCCTGTGAGTAAATCTCTTTATCCTTGGTTGCTTACTAGGGTTTGGATTCAACTCATGCGAGGGCTTTCTGCGTCTGTCAAATCCACAGTCCTGAAGAACTGAGCTGTGAGGTAGAGTAGAATTGGCTTGAGTAGTTATGTATGTTTCAGGTGTCTCGCCGTACGGATGCGTATCACCAAACGATTGGGATAAATTGCAATGAACGCTAGAATTCTCTACATCTGCGTACGCGCTTGAGCAAGGCGAACGCGTCTGGGGTTTCTCCGCATCGGCTGATAGAATATATTCCAAAGTCATTTCCCGGCTTTGTTGTTGAAGCGGCGACTGGTTTGCCGTGCTACTGTTCGTCTCCCCGGGTTCGATGTGTTTCGATAGAGTTTCACTTGCGGTCTGTTGGTTATAAGTAACGTGATGAGACGGAGCGAGACAGTATCGCGACGGTTTGGTACCGCTCTATAGAAATAAACTCTATTAGCGACACCTTATCAGAAATAGAGCAAATAACCTTACCAGTGTAGAAGGAGGGTTTTGTACCAGGCCATGCAGTGTGCTCTCATACTCTTTCATCCGTTTTTCCGCGGCGTCTTTAAATCTTCGGTTCAGATCTGCGATTCGAGCTTCGAGTTCGGCGTGCGCCGCTTTCTCTTCTTCTTGATAAGATGAATGAACCTCATTAATGCGACTGATCCAACGGTTGACCTCATTGCAAGGTGTTTTAGGGTTGTCAGGCAAGGAATCAAGAGACATATCGACACTAAGTTACCGTTGCGAACGAGTAAACAGAGAAGAAGAGATGAAGTAGAAAAGGAGCAATTTCATAACCTGTTGGGAAAACTGTTTTTATATTTGTGCACATTGAAGCTACTAAAGCAGGCCAAAACTACACTGTTAATGTGCTGGAAACCTTTTGAGATTGCGCTCCTCTACTCCTGGAGTCCGGATTGTAGCTCATATGACGGATACATATCCAGCCCTTTGACACCACCACAAGCTTGTGGGCTTGCAAATGCGTCTCTAGCATACTGGGCTTTCCATTGCGTCCCAACATGCCCAGTGAAACCAATCAGCTGGCTTTGGATGTCACCGATAAGGAGGCTTGCGGACAACGTTATTCAGCGAGGGCCTTAGTCGTGTTCAGCTCGCATATACAATAACCCCACAAGCTCTACTTTTCTCTAGGTGAACCCCTCGTTGGAAAAGGGGATACCTTGAGGTACATCTATGGCGAGGCTTGTTGGTGTGGTCCACCCTTTTTGGACTCTTCTTTGAAGTGTGACGAATCCTTATTTCCCTTCCTCAATATAGGTTCCTTCAGTCGGCGCTAACGCCAACAACGTTGTATTCCTTGGACGGTCCCTTGTCATCCTGTGTTATTGACTAGGCATGGTGATAGTAAATGCGACCCGCCAGTACTTCACTAGCAGGCCAGTGCATGAGTTGTGGCATGGTTACTTCAGTGGGTGGCTGCGCTACGCCAAACATGGGCTCATGCAAGAGATGGCTCCATGACAAGCTAGAAACAGAGAAGGCCGGTCGCAGCCGCGACATGATTGTTTTCGGCATTAGCTTCGAGGAGGGAAAACTAGCTTTGACAGAAGTTAGTTCGGACACTATACAAGTCTACAACCCGCCGCAATTTCATTTAATTTGGTGTGAGCTGTCTGTAATGTACTCAGACGGCAAGTCGATATTCGCCAACTACGTTAAGATATTTCCCGGCAACAGAGGGACTTTGACTACTTTTCTAATACCTATTTACTCTACGCCAGACCTTAAACATTAATAGATAACTTTTGCTCTAAGCTAGTACAAACTTCAGCATATAATCGCTGTTTAGGGATGTGATTTATTAGAGGCTACTTAAGTAAAAGAGGGTTATAGTCAAAGCTTTCAAACTCGTAGACACCTTGGATTCTAACTTCTTTTTATATAGTAATATATCTTTTCTATTTCTTCTGTTCATTGCTTGATTAGTTAGTTGTTCTCAAAGCTGGTAGATATCAAAGCGAGGTGCAGGTTGTAAGTAGAAAGTGCCTTGGTTGTTTAGTTCGAAACTAGTCGGCATTAATAATCTGAAAAACTTAAGTCTTTCGAAAGAACTTAAAGTTTGGTGTAGATCATATTCAAATGCCCGTTCAATTACGGCCAGCTTTAAGAAGGCAAGGTCAGCGTGTGCGGGTCATAACAAGCGTGACAGCTACGTCACACGAGGGATAAAGGGCTTGGATGAAGGACAAACGAACCCAGTAACACAAAGGCGTCACATAAACTAAGAGAGTCTATTTTGATTTCATAATTATTAATGCTACGAGCAGGTTAGGGCAACCAACTGTGGCACAAAGCAAAAGCTTCGGTAATAATGACTCTGGCATCTTATCCCCTATCCTGCAATATATGGCTCCGCCGGCCAGCTACCGACTGGTTGGGCCGTAACAAGTAAGTAGATACTCAGACACCTTAGTATTAGTATGATCAAGCAATACTTTGCTAGTTAAGGAGTCAAAGTCCGATATAGAACAGAGGATTGAACCCTCATTAGAAAGCCGCCATATTGGTTGTAGTTAGTAAACGTAGAGTCTTCCCAGTCAAAAAGTAGCACGTCTAAGCTATGCCATCGTCTCGCGCTCATAATCAGGAGCGACCAAACGTTTAAGGTCGGCTATCCCAAATTGATATCTAAGATTGCTATTCTAATCAAAGAGTATTAAAATTTGAACGTTTCTTTCTTGAATATTTCTATATTTTTAATAGTTCTTCTACTGATGCTTTGCCTAACCTTAGTGTTACAATTGCGTCTAGATTTACAGTAAAAGGCGTAATGGGTTTCGCGAAATATTTTAATTAACATCTTTAGTAGTGGTGGTGTGGAGCCGTGGCTTACTCGGCTTGGCAGACTACACTTGTCATGACCAGGTACTCATGGGACAACTGCTAACAGAGCCAGAATTGGCCGTTTTCCTCCCACTGGTAATCCGTGTAGGGTCCACCCCAACCAAACGGTGACTTGCACTCATTTGTGCTCTCCTTCTTCATTCCGGCCGCCTCTTCTTCCGCCTCACAATGATTATTATGGGATTCGTAAATCGTTTAGCATAGTTGGTTTGTTTGGAGTTACTCTGCAGTTGCTTTTGTTTGTCACTATTCCAGCTAAGCTGTTATCGTCTATATAGATCACGCTTAAAGCTAACTCGCTTCTTCCGCTTCGGAACCTTGAAGATAATTCGCTTCTTTGCAACTTCAACGTGTTCCCACTCCTCAAGATTTGAAAGGGAGGATATGGTGTCGGGATGGTTGACTCCAAGGCAGCGTTGCTGAAGCCCAAGGCAGTCACGCATCAACTGGATTGCGTCGACCAGCCGGCCCTGGCTTTTCCATGTATGAGCCAGGCTGGCCATGCTGGTCAGTGTGGAGGGATGCTCCTCTCCAAGCACCCTCAAACTCGTCTCCATTACCCGCACCTCCAGCTCCTCGGCCTCCTTCCATCGGCCTTGGTTCCAAAACGTCGACGCCAGGTTGGCTATGCTCGTCAGTGTGTCGGGATGCTCCTCTCCAAGCACCCTCTTACTCGTCTCCATTACCCGCACCTCCAGCTCCTCGGCCTCCTTCCATCGGCCTTGGTTCCTGTACGTCGACGCCAGGTTGGCTATGCTCGTCAGTGTATTGGGATGCTCCTCTCCAAGTACCCTCGAGCAAATACTAAATTCCTTTTCTTGAAGGTCATCAGCCTCCTTCCATCGGCCTTGGTTCCAAAACGTCGACGCCAGGTTGGCCATGCTCGTCAGTGTGTCAGGATGCTCCTCTCCAAGCACCCTCTTTCTCGTCTCCATTACCCGCACCTCCAGCTCCTCAGCCTCCTTCAATCGGCCTTGGTTCCTATATGTCGACGCCAGGTTGGCTATGCTGGTCATTGTGTCAGGATGCTCCTCTCCAAGCACCCTCTTTCTCGTCTCCATTACCCGCACCTCCAGCTCCTCAGCCTCCTTCAATCGGCCTTGGTTCCTATACGTCGACGCCAGGTTGGCTATGCTAGTCATTGTGTCAGGATGCTCCTCTCCAAGCACCCTCTTTCTCGTCTCCATTACCCGCACGTCCAGCTCCTCAGCCTCCTTCCATCGGCCTTGGTTCCAAAACGTCGACGCCAGGTTGGCCATGCTCGTCAGTGTGTCGGGATGCTCATGACCTAGATATTCCTCGCGAACTCGTACAGCCTCTTGTATAACAGCCTCAGCCCTGGAATAGTCCCCTAGCATAAGTGAATACCAACACATATTCGTCAACAGCTTGCTCCACTTTAACTGGTCGCTTTCTTCAGACGGCTTTTCATTCAACAGCGGCTCGATATGGGGCATTAATGTTTGACACTGTTCCCATGTTTCGTACACGCCTGATGGAAAGTGTTGCGAGGCGGACTGGAGGAAGAGTTTCCTCCACCGCTCTAAGCAACCGAGCTTTAAAATCCATTCCTTTGTACAAAACTGTACTAGTGAGTGCATCTCACAAAACCCAGATACCGTACTTAGTGAAATAAGCGAATAGCTTCGGAGCATATCTAAATCGTCCTCAAAATCATGATTGTCGTCAGCTTCGTCATCGTCGTTATCGTCTTTGTCGTTGTCGTCACTCTCCTGAGGTTTTAATGGGTTGCTGTTATATCTATACAGCATATACTCAGGTATGTTTTGTGCATTGAAATAGCTCATCAGTGACAGAAGGTTGGAAGCTCGGGGTCGCTCCCGTTTGATCTGCTCAAATGTCACTTGCCAAGTTATAATGATAGAGTTAGACACCCCTTTATATCGCCTGATATCCCCTCTATCACTGCGAAGCAGAGTACCCTTCCGCTTTTCACTCTTCTGGAATTCCTCCAAATACGAACTAATAGTCACCCGGGGACTTCGTTTATAGATGTATGCTGCTGCTTGGTTTACAGCGAGCGGGATACGGTTGAGAGTGTGAATCAGACGCAACGAGGCGGCCTCATCGATGTCTTGGCCTAGCTTGTTTTGGAGAAGCAGTAGTGCCTGTTCTTTATCCATTATAGGCACTTCAAGAATTGTCTTGCCGCTGCCTGTCAGACTCTCTGCGGCGTCTCGGCTGCGCGACGTAAACAGAATCTTGCCATTATCCGAATTGGGTAGATACGATGCCATCGGCGTCGGTGTGCTATCGTTAATACCGCCTTCGGAAAACAGCATGGCAACGTCATCTACATTGTCGACAATCATTAGCCACGCCCCCGCATCCTCTCTCTGCAGCCAGTCGCAGACCAGCGCCGCGACATTGACGCCAGGTTCGTGGCGACGAGGAAGAGCTAGCACATCTGCTATAGAGCGGTAGGACTCTTCGAATGTTGCGTTTGTGCTGCCGCGGACCCAGAAGACGCTAGTTCCGGACGACGCGGCGTGGATGTGGTAAGCGAATTGGATGGCCATCTGCGATTTGCTATAGCTGCGTTAGCGTAGGCTGCTAAATGAAGCAAAGCCAACATACCCGAACCCACCCAGACCCACGAGACCAAAGCGGCTCGCAGGCCCAGCATACTGCTTTTCCATCCATTCCGAGATATTAGGTCGGTTCACGAAGTCAGGGTCGGAAGCAAAGGGGACGACGAAATGAGGTTTGCGGGTAATAGATAGATCTTCGGCTTTACCGAGCTTTAGATCCTCTAGACCCTTTCGTAAGTCAAATAGAAGAACCCTGGCGAAGTCAGGATATAGCTTTATTAAGCAGCAACGAGTTTGCTCTTACGTGTGTTTCGAGTGCATAGTCTCAACTGTGTGATTCAAGCGGTGTATATCTCCCTGAACTGCTAAAACGTTAGATAGCATTACTAGGGTGGCTTTGTGATACTGACTCGTGTTGAGTACGTCAAGGATTGGCTTCTCTGCCTCAACGCTATTTGGTGGGATCTGAAGTAAGAGATCCTTCGCATAGGCCGCCGCCATCATGGCTGCGAATCCTTGCCACTCCTTGTTCTTATGCGAGTCGGCGTAGTCGCAAATTCCCCGGACGACTAGACACGGGAAGTGGTTCAATAGGCCTGCGGCCTCCATCTCGAAGCAGAGGACATCCCTTTCCGCCGCTAACTTATCCCGGATACGCGCATCCTTCATCAGCTGATTTCCACTAGCAATCAGGCCATAGTGAATGGCAGGATCGTCGTCCTCTTCGTCTCGTTTGGGTCGGGCTATTAGGGAGGTAGTATCGTCGCCGCATATAACGTCGCAGTCATTAGATGAATCTGAGGGATGCACAATGTCAGATCTATATAATCTGTCGCTTGCTAAGCCAGGTCGTGTATATTTCTTCCGCTTCTTGATCTTCTGTAAGGCCTCGTCTATGTTATTGGCCAGCTGGTGGCCCTTCATTTCATACAAGCTTCTAAGGGCGGCAAGCGCTGTTCGTAGCACCATCGGCGGTTGGTTCAAAAATCCAGTTTCTTGGAAAGAAAGATTCTGGATAGTTTTACCAAAGTCATACTGGAAAACGCCGCCTTTCCCGCCACTTGGGCTACTGACAACGACATCCCCGAGCCGTATGTCATGTTTGCGGCTAGGCGCGCCGCCCCCAATACCGACCATCAGCCCGATGCGCACGTTTGGAAAGCTGTGGAGCATGTCTCTGGCTACTACTGCCGCCGAGGTCGTCCCATATTCGCCGTCGGGTAAGGTAGCAACGACAACGTTATGGCTGCCAATCCTGCCCAGAATATAGCTGTTGTTGTCGTTTTGGGCGACCTGTCGCGGGGGTTCATGTTCATCGTCAAGGAAAACACGGGCGGCGACGGACTCGGGAGTGACGGCGCAGATCCAACCGACCGTGTAGGTTTGGGGATTAGACATGGCGGTTATGCGTTCGAATGAGGATGAGTGGTTCGAGACCGCTCATATCTCAAAAGGTGATTGAGACAGCGAGCAGAAGACGTCCAAATAAGACGACCGGATATGCGCGGGGACGTTCTCCTATATCTGCTAGGCACAAGATCAGGCTGGCGCTTGGCATGCCCGGATGTGATGATGCTTTACGACATGCAGCTAGCTGTGCCAGATAATTGGCGAAGAGCTCACAGTCACTTGGTGGATGTCTCTGAAACGAATCACGAGAACGAACCAGGGACCTCCTTTAGCATGTGGGCGTACGGCGGTGCAGCGATGATATGTCGGCGCAGGGCATGGCGAGATTCTTGATTGGTGAGCTATAGGCGAATACACATTGGCATTGGCGAACTAGGCTCACCAGGACATGCATGCGAAAATGTCCTAGATCAGGTCGCATCGTTCTTCAAGATAGTGGGGCAAGGCATATGGGTCCAGGGGCCAGCTTTTGCCCCAGTGCGTTGATGTAGCCCCTGCTTCACTGGGGCCGTTCATCCCGTTGATGATCTGACGATCAGATTAAGCTTGTTTTGACAGAATGTGAGGGCGGGCGAACGGTTTGTTTGTGGTGCTGCGAAAAGCGGTCTTGGTGGCTAAGCTCTGAAAAGCAAGGACATGGGTGGGTGGGTCCATAGAAACTCATGGAACCCTGTGGAAACTTTCTAGAAGGGCCACGCTGTCTCTTGTCGTCGCCACGAAGGTGCGACGATGCAGTCTGACAACGATGCCGCTGCCGCCTCAACCCAGCTTGATTCATAAGGCACACCATCATGGCAGGTCCAAGCTTTGACTGGCCCGACGACGGCTTTACTATCGGTTATGAAATCCCCGAGCTTCCGACCTACGACTTCCCTACAGACGGACCGATTGGCGGACAACCAAGTTCAACCGCCGACCGAGCCGGCTCCGATGTCGAACAAGCCGATCAGCCAAGTGGCGATCTTGCATTACCTCTTCTTCGACTAACCGATTGGGACAGCACTAAGCAGTATGACAAGGACAACCCGGTGTGCATTCATTATGATTTTCGGTGGAAGGTCTCTCAACGTAGCAAGATCCGAGCAAGGCAAGTTTGTTCGGATACGGATCTTGATCTCGTTCTGGCTCCAGGCGATTTCTGGGAGACTACTTTCAGGCCTCGACTTACAGCCCTATTGGAGGATGAGCACAAGTTTCCTACGGATAAGTATACATATGAAGAAGCGATTGTCGACATATCTATCAAGCAAAGCCGTCAGCAAGGCCTAAAGAAACGATTCGAAGGCCTAAAAATCGATTGGAATATCCTACACAGTCATATAGAAGGCCTCAGCGTCTTATTTAGTAAGAGGAGGAAGATTACTCTTAGCATCAAGATTGTTTATAAGGAAGCCACAGGCGATGCCACGTCGGCAAAAGGCAAAAAGAAAGGGCAGAGCGCTACTAAGGCTCAAAAGCTTCAGAGAGCCGCCGATGCCGGTCTTTGGACTCGAGTATATAAGCATCATCGCTGCAGAGGCAAATTCTGCAAGCAAGGACCCCACTGCTGGATTGACGAACGGGGAAACCACCATAGGCTGCTACCGAGGCACCTAGAAGAGATTTTTAATCATATCCAGAGAAATATGAAGGAAGGAGAGAAAGAGGAGGAGGTTAACATCAACATCGAGATCCCATCCAAAATTCTTGGTGACATACTAAATGACAGCCGGAAGCGGAAGGCGGAGGACTCCATCGATTGTCGTGGCTGCAAAGCTCATGCCTCGTCAAACGGTAGGCTCCATGGTAGCGGCGAGACAAGCTTCAGCAGTGACGCTAGGGAGGTTGAGGGTGATAGGATGGATAGACTTGAGGAATATTACGACTGGAATCTGCAACAAGTTAAAGACGATAAGTGGAGAGAGGCCCTGCAAGTTGCGAATCAGTTTGCGATAGACCAGTTTCTCGAACTGAATTCAATCTTGAAGCACCCAAAGGTGGCTGCCGATTTAATGGTAAAAGGCGGGGTGAAGCCGGGCATTGCTTTGCAGTTCGTTAGCAACGTTGAAAGGTTTCAGCAGAGACAAAGCCTTGAAGGCCAGAGTTAGGCGCTAGCATCTTATGGCGTCTTTATTAAAGTAATTGCACTTGTTCTGGTGGTTTTGTGATAGATATCCCCGCGTGACGAAAGTGAGCCTCTGCTACGTCAGCATCGTCCCCAACCACGTCAACGCACCATTCCAGAAACATCTTAAACTCCCTAGAAATAAAGTCCTCATTTTCATGCCATTTTTTCTTAATAAACTTTTTGAGGACTCCAAAGTGTTCCTCAATAGGGTTGAAGTCGGGTGAGTATGGAGACAGAAATTCCACTACCACTCCCGCATCTCGGCATATCTGTATAATCTTCTCCGAATGATGCCATGAAGCATTATCCATAACGAGGACGGATTTTGGCTCTGGATATCTGCCACAGTGATGCAGTAGCTGGGCTATAAAGTCCTCGAATAAGTCACTGTCGGTTGATCCTTGGTATACTCGCCTCAAAACAATGCCATCTTGAGCGTAGGCTGGCAGAATGTGCCATCTTTTCCCGCGACCGAACCTCGTGGTCTCCACTGGAGACGACCCTTTCGGCGACCACCCCCAACGCCGGTATCCCGCTCTGCTGTCGCATCCAGACTCATCGACAAAGACAAGCTGATACGACTGGTATTGCGAGATGCGATGAAGATAATGGTCTCGAAGGTCGTCGTCACGTTGTTGTGCAATGCGGCGGATCGTCTTTCTCGTCCACCTAATTGACTGCAGGGTCCGGCCGATTGATCGCTCCGATATTCTCATCCCAAAGCTACGATATAGGAAGTCTGCCATTTCGCATCGATACATATATGGCTGTTTGATTAGTCTATTACATAGGGCCTCCTGCATGCGTGTTGTCATGCGGCTGCGACGGCCAACACGGGCTGGCTTTCGGGTGGGCATGTCAGAATCCAGTCTCTCGCGACGCATCTTCTGAACGGTATGCAGAGAGCATGATGCATTTGAGGCAATGGTCTTGTTTTCGAATCCTTGTGTTAGTAGAGTTTTGATCAGGGAACGCTGTGCGGCATCCAGTTGCGGCGCCATAATGATGGCTGGCACCAGTCGTCTCCAATTAAGAAGAGGGAGAACCACGGGACCAAGGCCAAGGGAGCAAAGATGGGCGCCCTGGGGGTTTTTCTTAGGCTGGGTTGCTGACGGCTTACTAGTAAGTCAGTTCTGGCTCTGTTAGCGACCGTCCAGAGGGTACTTGGTCACTACAAGTGTAAGCTGTTCCGCCAAGTAAGCAACGGTTCCACACCACCACTACTAAAGATGTTAAGTAAACATTTTGACGAAACCCATTACGCCTTTTACTGTATCCATCGCTTACCATTTCTCCTAGGAAAGTCTTTTCGGTTCACCTTTTCATGTAAGCTTCCAACTTGCATCCTTTTCTCCGATGTAAACTACTCTTATTGACCATTCATTTCGCAGTTTGACGCTCTTCGCTAAGTTGCCTTTTTGAAACATCCGTCAGCCCGCCCAGTCTTCGAAGAAGGAAGACTATTCTTCTGAAAAAACGGCTTTTAGACTGAAGCGCTTGTGAAAGTAAAATATGTCTGTTTTTTGGTGCTTCTTGTCGGTGTAATCGTATCCAGTGTTACGGCCCAACCAGTTGGTGCCTGGCCGGCGTAACTATATAATGCAGAACAGGGGATAATGATGCCAGAGTCATCATTACCGAAGCTTTTGCTTTGTGCCACAGTTGGTTGCCCTGGCCTGCTCGTAACATCCAGGTTACTTGAATGCATGTATGGCAAATTAAGCTGTTCTCACGCGTCGAATGGGACCTATCAATTCATGATGATGTCGCTATCGCCCTCTTCTTTTCCTTCTAATGTGTGTAGGTAGGTTTGCCGGCTGGATCGATGAAGAAGATATAGCAGTGCACGAAGCCGATGATCTCAAAGATACGCCTCAAAGTTGATAACATGAAGAAACAGGAATCGAGCGCTATTCCTACGTCTGCGATGCTGCTCGAAAGTAGTACTCGAGGACTGGAAGTTGCCTCCCGCAATCCCATCCGTGGACGCTCACTGTGTATTTTCTATCTAACATGACTAGCTGAACAAGAAGGTTGGCAGACGCTGTCTTGCCGCTGCATCTTCCCATTCAACTAAAACTCGTTTTTGCACTAACAGCTCTATCGCAGCTTGCTCTTCCGAACTGAGGAGATGCACCCTCGTTTTTCATAGCCCTTCAGAAGGTACGTTCTCTCCACGCTCGCGAAAGAAAGATTCGTCTAAATATTTCCAGTAAAAAGTATCAAATGCCCAGCTCTTTCTCGCAGCATAGTTAAACTAGAAACGTCCGGTCTCCTGGCTCTCGGGCATATATGCCGGAAGAAGAAACGAACGAGAGTTCAACTCTATCTCTGCCTCTCTCAAAGCTTAAAGCCATAAGGGCTCTTGTAACTGAGCCGTGTTTGAGAGGGAAGTTTAGCAGATGTGGTTTGGCCTGAGTCAATGTTGGGCCACCTTTTGCACTACTTCATCAAATTTCATTCCTCTCAGGAAACCTGCTGGGATCACAGGGTACCCGTGAAGTGGGAATTTCTAATCCGTAAGGTAGGGGGGTAAGCGTATGGTGTTCTTGTTCTATGCCTGTCTATAATCTAGAAGCACTAATAGAAGTGCGCATTGAAGTGGTTGAGAAGATATGTTTCCTCCGGTCTGCCCGTCACATGGAAGGCCGGTTGCAGAGCCACTTCAACCCGGGATTCCGGCTATTGCAACAAAATCCGACTCTGTGGCATGTTATCCAAGTCGATACCAGGAGGATAACTTCATCAGATCCTCTAGACCTCGACAATAGTGCCCAGGCTCATCCACGAAGAAACATTCATCGCCAAAGATTACTACAGCGCGGCCCCACATGTCGTCTTTCTTGACATACCTGCTGTGTCCGTCGGTCATGCCCGGGCCGAAAACCAACGTTAGAACGCATTCGGTTACACGCTCGATTGGAGTGAAGTGTTGCTGTGGGAAATTCTCCCAGCGTTCTTGCTCTAGAAGCTCCTGACCAAAAATTACTGATGCATCCTCTCCTCTTATCACCGGACCTCTTACTGTTCGGATTAATCCAGGGCAAATGATATTGCATCGGACTCCATATTGATGATACATAGAACTTGCAATCGCCTTTGTGAGACCCAAGACAGCAAACTTTTAGAAATTAGCATCATTGTTTAGGATACTGGAAAAGGGTTGCGTCACCTTGGATGCTGTATACAGTGGGTACAAAGAAGCTGGCCATATGCTGGCGCAACTACCAGTAATCACTAAGCTTTGGTCCTCCGTCAGGTTTTTTGCAAAATAGTACTGCGCCAAATGGACCGTCGAGACAACGCCTTTGAAGTTGACGTCGCAGACGTATTGATCTAGCGCCGGCGGTTGCTGTTCGAGGCAGGGCGGTACTTGGCTGTGCATTGATTCAAATTGCGGCCGACCAACGACGCCAGCGTTGGCGAACACGAAATCAAGGCGTTGCTCCCGCGCGAATATTCTTCCAAACACCTCTGCAAGACCTTGGTAATTCGTGACATCTTCCCGGTAAAAGTAAGCATTGTTGCCGAGGATGGAAAGCGCTCTTTCTCCTTTCGTAGGATTTGTTCCTATGATGTGAACATGCCACGCATCTCGTTGGAGGAGAGCTGTGGCAACGGATAGGCCTATGCCACTGTCTGTACGCGTTGATGAGTATGAGCTACCGATGCATTTGGGACTGAGATGAGTTACCTCCACCCGTGATGATGGCAACTTTATGCATTTCGCTTGGTATGTGAGGTACCTGAATGGGAAACCTAATCCTCGTTAGCTCTTTACAAGTGTTTGGTCATGTACGACTGGAGGTTCTGTGTTAAACCATTTCCATTTTGCGGCTGGCTCGTACAGGTCAAGACACTTTAAGAAGCACTGCACCATTTGTGAGAAGAGGAAAATTCCATCTGCTTTCCAGTACTGTACAGTTATACAGGGGTCAGCGAAAAGGGCTTCATGCTTATTCTCAACTCTCTGCAACTCTCTGATGTGTTTCCGCACGGACGTCTGGCATCTTGGCATCGACACAGTTTGAACTAGCACGGCGACACCAACCCACTGGAGCTTTTCACTGACAGGGGTGCTCCATCAATTTCTTAGAGCAAACAATGGCTTTTGTGTCATCAACACCAGGGGTCTTAAGTGGGTTGAAGGGCCAGTTTTGGATTACCCAACGTCTGTTATTGGAGATGGAGAACATGTTTAACTGTTTGGATCCGGTCTAAGCTGACGTACACCACATCTACGATGTAGATCTGTAAAACAAACAAAATAACCACACTGTGTAAGCAGCAAAAAGCTTACACGTCCGAGCGGCGAGAGATCAGAGAGTTGGGAATAGGATGAAGGCTTTTTCGCTGACTACTGTATGCAAATACATCTTCCTCTTTAAAGACAAATACCTTCTCTTTCAAATCAGAGTGGAGCTTGTAAGGTACTTAGATCTACCTAGCATAGTTGACCATAATCCATAAATGGCTCCAAAGTAAGCTGCATTTAGTGGTGATTACTTAGCGCAGGAGGTACTCAAAAGTATATAGCAAACACCCATGCGTTATCCTATTACATAATGACAGTACAGACGACAGGCCCAAATACTTAGCAAAACTGCTTAGTCCTCTTTATTTCCGCGCAGGGCAGCTGTATATAGTGTGTGCTAATGGTTGCACCACACTGTGTGGATAAGCATTAGAAAATAAAAGAGTTGTTTAAAAGAGGAAGGAATATTTGCATATAACTGTACGTATCTTCTGTGCATAGAGTCAAGTTCAAGTTAACTGCAATCACAACAAAAATCGGTTTGTGGATCTTGGCTTAAGGGAAGCAATTCATTGCAGCCATTTTCGGCTACTCTTGCTAATGAATCAGCTAGCAGTCGTCATTAGAAGGTACTGTACTGTAATGCGAATTTTTCTAAGCGCGGTTCTACGTTTTGCGACATAAAATAAAGGATCCACAAATGGCCGCTGTATCAATTCTAGAATGTCTAGAACCAGACGCCGATTTGGTCGGAGCTAAAGCTAAAGTGGAGAAGGTACTGACGTCATGAAGGTAAGGGCATTCAGCTTCACCGCCGGGCGTAATTACCTATGTGTTTATCCGTATTGACTACTGTACTATCGTTTTGTGGGTGTCAAAATGGCTTCAACACCGCCTCAGCATTGTCCAGGAGCCAATTGTTGCTTTCTGTACAGATCCATGCTCTGCAAGGGTTTCTTGTTCGCATGTAGATCCATAAACAGCCGCGATGAAGTAACCCCTTAATATCAAGCCTATCTTCTAGTCCATGACCCACAATATGCCTCCATCAATTCAGCCATCTGTTGTGACACGCCAATGTTATTCGCTGGAAGCTGATGCCTTTGCTTAATGAAAGCCAGAACCAGCTTCCTCATCGTCCCAGGGGGCAACAATGAGCACGATGCAAATCCCCAAAACTGGATTTTGGGGCATTAGACCCACACGTTGGACGCGCAACCTGTGAACAGAAACATATGGCAACTGAATGGCCCTGGCACGGCAGCACCTACTGCAGCTAATGCTAATGTAAGCGCCAATGGCATGGGGCGCACAAGATCCTACTTTAACACTACCAACTTCATCAGCTCATGATTGCACAGCTGTACAAACCACCACCGGCCGGAGTTTCTACAGTATCATTTAAACGTAATCTGGTTGGGGTATCTTTCCTCAGCTTGTAGTGCCCCTTCTCCACGATGCTCAGCACAACGCGATTCAACGTGATTATCGCTTCAATAGTGGCCACCGCCAGCTTTACCTACGGTTTTGGTCTGTATTTATTTATGATGTGATAAATCAGCTACGCTAACGAGGTCAGGCTTTGCTTCGTTTGCGACAGCAATTGGCCAGCCCGGTTTCTATGAGTACTTTCAACTGCCGACGAAAGGCCCTGGCGCCACGCACACCAACTCCATCATCGGTACTATCAACGCGCTGTTCTTTTCTGGCGCCGTTATCGGGGCTTGCTCTATTGGCCCCTTAGCTGACCGCTATGGCCGCAGGAAGAGCCTCGTCTTGGGGGCACTGGTCAGCGCGTTTGGCGCTGCTTTGACAGCCGGAAGCCAGAGCGTTTCTATGTTGCTCGTCGCACGAATCATACAAGGCGCGGGATTGGGATCTCTCGCATGTCTCTCCCCCACCTATCTAACAGAGATATCAACACCTCAGAAGCGAGGAATGGTCACGGGCATGCACGGAATATTCCTTGTGTTCGGTTACAACGTCAGCGCTTGGGTCGGTTTCGCTTGTCATTTTTCAAGCAACTTCAATTTTGGTTTTCGTGGCCCTTTGGGCTTCACAGCACTACCAGCGGTTCTCCTCGCGATCGGATGTTTATGGATACCTGAGTCCCCGCGGTGGCTTCTGGCCCGCGGGTTGCCAGACGAAGCCCGGCTAGTCCTGCAAAGGCTCCACACCAGAGAAGGAGATTCCGACAAGCGTGGATTTGAGCTCGAGGTGGCACGCTTGGAAAAGCAGGTCGCTTTAGAAACTAAGATCCCCGGAGGCTACCGCATCATTTTTCAAACCGCGGCGTACCGCAGACGAGCGTTATTGTCGTGCTTCATTCAGTTCGCCGCAAACGCGTCGGGCGCCTTGTTCATCAGCTACTATAGTGTCCTCATATACCAAAACCTTGGCCTAGATGGATACATTCCTTTGCTTATGTATTGCATTTTCACGCTTGTCGGTGCGATTGGAAATGTAGTGTCAGCCCTTTTCATCGACCGGCTTGGCCGAAGACCAGTAAGCATCCTTTACTGCATCTCATCTTTTCTACTCGAGTCTGTATCACTGATGCCTTTCGGTTTCAGTCACTCATTATCGGTTTCGCCGGTTGCCTGATTGCGATTTCGATCGAAACAGCAATGATAGCCGAGTTCATCGAAGGACCAATAAAAAGCGCCACCGGCCAGCGTATAGCGCTTGTTGCTATGTTTGTGTAGGCAATCCGTTATTTCCATGTGCGATGGTCTCTCCCAACATTAGCTAACAAACAGATTCCAGCTTTGTTCTCTTTTACGGCGCTTTCATTGACGCCGCTTCCTTTGTCTACAGCGCAGAGATCTACCCGACTAATATTCGGTCTCGAGGGGTCGCTCTCGCCACTTGCACATATTTCATTGCTTGCATTGTGAGTTTGCACTGTGGCTTTCCAGTCAGATGCCGCTTTGAAGGCCAAGTTGTTGCAGCGCAACTTTGAACCAGCATAATAAGCTGACCATGTGTTAGATTTTCGTGACACCAGGCGCCACCGCCATCGCTACTATCGGATGGAAATATTTCTTAGGTTAGCAAGGTGAAACTCCTTCAAGCATGAATAGAACTGACAAATATATTAGTCTTCATCGTATTGACCATTGCAGCGATAGCAATCCTGTGTAAGGCTTAGCACATCCTGAAAAGGAAACTAGCTAATTTATTACAGACGCCTTCTATCCAGAGACGAAAGGGAAAAGTTTAGAAGATTTGGTAAGCCAAGGTCGTTTTTCCGCGGACGAAATCGGCGAGCTGATCAAAAATCGACTAGATGATCTTCTTTGGAGACCCAACGTCAGACGATGACGGACCCAGCGAGCCTACTATCGGAAAATCGCTACAATGCTAACCTATGAAGGCTCTGCGATATAGCAAAGTCTAATCGCTGACTGGAATGGGGAATTCCATTGTGTACGAAAGACTTCCCATTCAATCGTTGCCACGCGTACTATGAGTAGGACTAGGCTAGACGTTCGTCGGTGCTGGCTTATCGGAGGCGTCAGCGTCGTCCGTCAAATGTTGCTGTACATCGTTGATGACATCCAGCCAGTAATGCATGGGCTCAGTTGCAGGACATACCTAGCCGATTTTTACATCCACAATTGACCAAGTCTTCGTCTGTCATCCAGTTTCCAAGCTTAGAATAAATTTGAGTAATACGGCATCACGAGCACCAGAACAAGTGTTGGTGTACAAGTTTGATGCGGCAGGTCCCGACATCAGTCTTTCTATAAATAAATGGCGTTTTGCGAGAGATTAGCAGCTATCGTGTTGAAGCAGTGGCAGCGGACGCTGGCTTGACTCTGGAGGGTTTTGCCTAACCATGTATAAGTCGGAAAACGGTACGTAACAACAAGCTGCTTGTTTGTTGTTTTGCTATGTGTGACGATACTTTCAATGCTCACCGAACACACCGAGCGAGGTGTGTTGACGTAATCCCTGTGAAACGCCTACCGTAGATCTTTAAGTAGGCGTGCTTTTACGCATTCCCTGCTTTTCTAAGTCAAGTCACCCTATTACACACTTTACAGTTTATTGATATGTGCCTAGTTTGTCACACTATGATCGAGTAGGTAGAATTGATGCGTCGGCAAAGCCCATGCCAGAATCGTGGCATAGCCCGTAACACCGTGGAGGAAACCGATTGTTGATCTTAACCTTACTTCTAACGAACCCCTCACACAGCTGCCGAGATAATTCACTCCTAACTTGAACCTTATTAGAACTACCGGCTCCACCATCACAGCCGGCGCGAAGTCAGCAGAACTTCCCACAGCGGTAGCGACAAAGTTTGACAGTGGCGCACTCGGCCTCCTGTAATGATGTACACCAGCTAGAGTGAAACCTTCAATTGTGGTTTCGCTGTTATCTTCTTATGTTCACAGAGGCGTATCCCATTGAGTGCCAGATGGCAACAGGTACAAATGACCCCTAGACTTAATCGCCGTTGCCATCGAGTTATCAATGTGTGTATTCTTGACATACTTTGGCGCTCGTCCATTCGCATAGCCTAAAATCCGAATTAAGACTGTCGAGGCATTATCTTATGTGCACGTGACTCCATCAATTACGGTCACTGGTTGATTTCATTCCATCCACAGTTATGCATGGCTGTGATTCGTACGATTAGTCAGAACTATTTTGATTTACGAGTGAAGAAATGATGTTTTCTAGTGCGTAACGCTTTGTTGGTGGCCCAGCCTTGATAGTGTCAGAGTCCACACGATGATGAGGTTGAACCTCTACTGGCTGTCTGTCCAAAGAAACAAAGGCGCATATCGCAGAGGGCACGCACGGTCAGTCACATATCATCTTTTGGTATTTATTGGTGCCTATAAAGCAACTCTAGCTAGTTTAAACTCCCTTGGGTCTTGACTAGTGCTTGATTTCGAACACCAGTTCTCAAATGGTATCTGGACACGATGCTGTGGCGAGGCTCCATCAATAGCTACGGTACTTCGCCTCGTGCGAAATACCAATAGCAGCAGCATATGACAGAACATTCGGAGAAAAAAGGATTGTGATTAGGATTGTATGATTTTAAATGCAGTTTCCAAATGGGCTAACCGTCGTTGAGAGGCGTTGCATGGTAAAGAAAACCACCCAATCACGTCGATCTCCTAGTTCACAATAGTTTGTGTTAGCGGGTCACATGAACAGTGTGGTCTAGGTTGAACTACTTTACGTTCGCAAGGGTCAAAAGCTTTCTTGAACGCATAAGAAGTGCAAAATTCTCTTTTTGCATGACGCCCGGCCAGCTCTCTCGTTCAACCGGTGCACGTGTGGTATGTCTGGTTTGTCTATGGAGGTTCTGTTGTCTAATCATCAGAAGGTCACGTGTTTCACAGCGAGTGTCTCTCGCGATCTGGTACCCAGTTTGTGAAAAAATGTCCGCTTTGCAGGAAAAACGTGGAGCGTTGCGAGGTAAGCCAGCGAGTCGGCTTGGACATTGTTCCATGGGCATGCGTGGGCATAGTGCGGCAACAAGCGAATATCATCGGCGGCAGCGAAGAAAAGACAAGAGGAATAAGCACTTTTACCAAGGATTGGCGAAAATAAATAAGGAATATACGGAATTTGACGCTTGGAAATATCTACTGAAGAACTTCTACAGTTCGCTGTAGATAGGGAGGGGAGGGATAAGCTACCTTGGAACTTGTATCAGTTGTAATTTGTACATTAAAGAGACAGAATATTTGCAATGTTTGCATGATTCTCTCGCCGCGGTCGTCTGGTACTACCTTGTTGTGTGAATCGGAACAGGATAAGCCAGCTTCAAATCTGGAACTGAAACGGGAATAAATGGTTTATACACTGAGACTCCAAGCACCTTATGTCCGTTGCAGAAATTATAGCCCAAATCTCAAATGGGTGCTTGAGCGGATAAGTCAAAACGACCATGCTGCAGCCAGAACTTGCATAATCTCCTGCGATATATTGCTCTTCCTACAAGCCTGTGGTGTATTTAGTCAAAGCATTATCACTGCTATACTGAAATATTTAGTCTTATTCATGTTTCATGCGGCAATGCTAGATTCGACAGCAAAGGCAGTACATACAAAGAAATAGATAAGCTCTGCCCTCTTTGGTACAAAATTCATTGTTAAACAGACTGCACACTACCCCATGCTGACACTCATCGTCACCTGAAAACGCTGTAAATCTAAGGTTTCAGACTTGGTTGTGTCTCATCCATTGCGGATAGTCGCATATCAACTGTCGGGATAATGCAGCAGGTTTAAAGAACAGTCTGCGTTCGCGGCCCCTCCTAAAGCGTTGAAGCTGGCGTGGATAATTCCTCTCTCGTCTTCTCGGTTGGCGGACGCCCCCCAGAACGTACTCCCACCTAAACCGTTCTCAACAATATACGCAACCTTCTGTCTGGTCAATTAGGGGCTATCATACGATACAAACTCTTGCGCTTCGATGTCGTAGCTAAAGCTGGCGCCAACAGTCGTGTTGTGGTAGTCCATTGCCCCAGGTCGTGGCAGGGCCTTCACGTCCCACATGCCTTGCCCCCACGACCCGTTGCCTGCGCCATAGTAGGTCTGGCTGAGCCCACCAGTCTGCTGAAATGCTCTGCCGTACAGGGGCATGCCAAGAATAATCTTGGTAGACGGCAATCCTTTGGATATATAGTCTTCGATGGCGACATCTGTAGAAAACGATGTCGAGTTAGGCTTGATGGGACTTGAGCGCAGATTGGCTTGATGTCCCGTCGTGGCGCTCCATGGACCAGAATAGTCGTAGGCCATCAGATTGAAATTATCAATAATATCTGATATATTACTGAGCGGCAAAGTATTGTAGTTGAACGGCCCAGCAGGTAACGATATTGTTAGGAGAAGACGGTAATAAGGCGCATACTGGCTTGCGTATGAATCCATCTACGACCGCACTTTGTCTAACAAAAGGACGAAATCTTGCGCCTCCTTTTCGTCAACAGGATTTAGACAGCATTGCGATATTCTGAACGGTACTGGACGTTTGCGGATTTACCATACCGACGGCTTGAGCGGAGATGAAAGTAAGAATCACCCAGCCGATTTTGAACATGGCGGTTGGCAGTACTGTGAGTTGTGAAAAGGTATTGAATTCTACTAGGGGCCGCCGCGTTTTAAGAAGTTTGGACCGAGCAGGCGTCCAGTTCTGGCTGAACAGCAGAGAGAGCACCGTCGAAAAACCGTCAACCACTCACTCTACTCGCTTAACGTCTACTACTCATAAGGGCAAGTATTCGAGCAGACGACAAGGACTACGACCAATGGCACGCTATTAATAAAAATACCCAGACTCGGTGTTTGGAACAGGCATGCTTCAAACTACATGTCAACGGCTAGTCGGCATCTGAGCCACAGCTGGTTGTGTATAAAAGCTCAGCTGGTCTCGAGATGGCCAACAGTCACCTCGAGACATCGCATCTTCCCTTTTTATCTGTAGATTTGGCATCCCTTCAACACGAACCCGACGCACCCAATAGATGAAGAGGGGCTAGACACTATGAACATCGATTTTGCTTTCGAAATTGCCCATGTGGTAAGTTTTAACGTTAGCTATCAGTTGTCACCTCCGCAACAATCTGCCGGAACTTCTGATCAGGCAGAACCACAGCCTGAGGAAATCGACTCAGGGGCTGGATGAAAATGAAGACAACTTGTCCGAAACGAGATCCATGTCGCCTTCCGTCAAAGAATTTGTACATTTATTCGATAGGAGTTACTCTAGCGATCGGTTCGAGGCTGAATACTGGTATGGTGGGCTAAAGGGCACAAACAGACGTAGGCTTATTCTTCCTTTAGGGCTCCAATTGACGAACCTCAAATGGATTTTATGAGCTGGTGGTATGCTAGAGAGGACAGAAGCAGCAGATTGTGTCACTGAGGATTTTATTAGGCACGGCATATGTTACGAAGTCTTTGGCAGAAAGCATTTCTGTGCTGAAATCCCGAAAAATGTTCAGGTATGTTCGTCTTATATCCGGGTTAACCCTTCGAAGCTGATCCAATCACAAGCGATATTGAATGTCGGAACAGGCAGTGGCGCTTGGGTTATGTAAGGATCTTTCTGTTAATCATTTATGCTGCTGCTCTGCTAAAGACATACCTAAGAGATGTCAGTGGGGCGTACCGCAGTGCTGCCGTGACCGGAATCGATATATCTCCGATTATGCCGCAAGAAGTACTGCCGAACGTCCGTTTGTGAGCTGGAACGACAGCCCTTGTTTTTAACGTACGTTGCAAGCTGAGTAGCCTTCCAGCGAGATTGACGACTTCAACGAACCATGGACATTCAAGCCAAACTCTTTCGATTACATCCACATAAGGTTCCTCACAGGGTCTATCAAAGATTGGGAATCGATCGTGGAGCAAGCTTATCATTGCCTGGAACCAGGCGGTATTCTTGAGAGCTCAGAGCCATCGTTCTTGGTTGAGAGAGACGACGGTACAGTAAATGAAAAGAGCGCCTGGTCCGGCTGGTACAATATATTTGAGCAATACGGGTAAGATTCTGGCCAAACGTTTTCTGTTGTGCCGCAGAATATCCAAAGACAAGCTTTGGAGCATGCGGGTTTCAAAGGCTTAGAAGAGCACATATGCCAGGTAAAAAGTCCGATATAGTGTTTGGCAAAAGCAGCTCTAAGATTGCACCCAGATACCAATTGGCGCGTGGCCGCAAACCAAAGAGAAAAAGGAATTAGGTCAATACGCAGAAACGATGATGCAAACAGACATATTGGGCTGTTTGCTACGGCCATGCCTTTCGAATGGTTGGACGCATAGCAAAATCGAGAAATATAGCTCCGAGCTACAATCCGAAATGGATTCGAAGCGAACGCGCCCCTTTTTTCAACTTGTGACGAACTAGGCACATAGCAATCAGGCTAGAAAAGGTGTGAAAGAGTGACTTGATTTAGAAAGAGGGTATGTCCGTGAGGAAGCGCGTACTTATACGCCTTCGGTGTGCGTTTCACATAGCTTACGTAAACACACCTGGCTCGGTGTGTTCGGTGAGCGTTGATATTATCGTCACACAACTGAAGAGCGTTTGGGGCTACAAGCTGTAAAACTCTTTATTAGAGGTACATGAGTAGCAGCAGAGCCAGGGCTTTCATTCGTCATGGCGAAAGCCCAGTCAAATTGGATACCATTGTACGCATCGAATACATTCTACTGTCTTGAGCAACAAGTCTTCAATTTTATGATCTCCTGCATATTTACATTATTAGTATTATGCGCTCAACTTGGTCTCTAATTTATATGGATAATTAAGTGCTAGACCTTATGTTAAGAAGGACTAAGCCGCAGTACAGCCAGTAACTATCAAAGTCTCTCGAGACGCATCACAAGCTGCAGCAGCTGGTGACGAAACATCTCCGATCAGTCACTAAATACGCGCACTAAGGTGGCATAACTCCAGATCAAGACACTAGTCTCTAGCAAGACATAGTGGCATAGAGAGCTAGTGCATGTGTTTAGTATGCTTGTAAGACCGTGGTACCTAATCCTATAACGGAAGATTCCACAGTTCTTCAAAAGGGAAGCTAGAGGGCTGGAAAGATTGCACAAAGTACAGGATTCTGAAGTCATGAATGAGAGAGAGTAACGGCCGACGTTCGGGATGGATTTCATTACTAAGCAATCAAACTACTCACGAGGGGGATATCCTTGTCGCCATTTCCTCCAATGCATACCAACACATGCTTATCACATCCTATCGACTTGGCCAATTGCATTGCACCATGAATGGCGTGTGCAGACTCTAGTGCCGGAATGATGCCTTCAAGTCGGCTTACTAAACGGAAGCAATCTATTGCCTCCTCGTCTGTTGCAGTAATGATTTCAACCCGCCCAGAGTCCCTCCAAAAACTCAGTTCAGGTCCAACCGCCGGATGATCCAGACCGGCCGCGACGGAATGGCTGCGTCCGATTTGACCATGCTTGTCTTGCAGCACATAAGTCATGGCACCCTGGAAGACGCCACAACTTCCCTTTGACAAGGTGGCACTGTGAAAAGAGCCTTGGAGACCTTTTCCCCCTGCCTCGACACCAACAAGCCTGACTGTGGTGTTGTTCAAGAACGGGGGGAAAAGTCCCACCGCGATTGCCCCAGTGCCAACACACGCGACGACTGCATCTGGTAGCTTCCCTATTTTCTCCAGACATTGCCTTTTGGTTTCTTCTCCCATGGTTGATTGAAAGGTCCGCACAATTAGGGGTATCGGGTAAGGTCCAGTTGGTGTGCCGGCTAAATAATATGTCGTCTCGGTGTCCGCAGCACAAGCACGCAAGGCTTCATTCATTGCTTCCCGACGTGTTTGGTCTCCTGTCTTGACTCTAGCAATTTTAGCTCCCAAAATTTCCATTTTCCCCATGTTGACTGATTGTCTTAACTCGTCCTTCTTCAACAAGAATCAATAAAGTGACAGATGAAGAAGCAAATGAGAATACGTACCGCTCCAACGTAGACAACACACTGTAGGCCAAACTTGGCGCATAGAGAGGCTGTAGCAACCCCATGCTGACCCGATCCCGTCTCCGTAATGATCCTTTTTTTCCCCATTCGCTTGGCCAGGAGAACTTGACCTAAGGCATTAACAATGCAGCACGATCCAGTGTGGTTTAAATCTTCTCGAGCGAGCCAAATTGTTGCACCACCTGCGTATGCAGTCAATCGGCTAGCCAAGTGAACATAACCTGGCCGGCCAATGTAGTCGGAATAACTCTGATACTCTTCCCAAAAGCCCACATTACCGACTTCCCGCATGAAGGCGGTCTCAAGTTCTGACAGAAATGTTGTGAAACACTCTGGCACGTATTGGCCGCCGTATGCCCCAAAACGCCTAGATAAGGCAATCATCTCTGGCGAGATTGTCGTAGCCGCCCTCTCAACGCCAAAGAAAGAGTCATGTAGTACCTGGATGTGGTGAGTGGAGCAGGTTTTTGGCTGCGTCAGCCAGCCGATTGTGTGTTGCGCTGTGGTGCAAGGCCTTTTAACCAACCAACTGCGTGTATAGCGACCTGCCCCATCCTGGGCGATTTTGTTTGACTGGGGTGAGCCATATCTGGTTCTCTATCAACTTACTGGAGCCAGAACATGATGCGGGGCACGGCATTTCGTTCTCAGAGACAGTTGGCCTGAGCAATAATTGGCGATGGTAGATGCTCCATGGTAATCAACATAACAACCAACTGTGAAAATAACAGCCAAAAATAGCTTATTATTGCAGCCCCACAAACGTCCAAATATCGATCGTGATCTTTTCCGAATCCGACGGTTCAACCAAGATGATGCGGGACACGCGCTGCATATATTTACACACGCTCTGTGCATATGCTCTGAGACATCTGTGCTAATGTTTGACATTCAAAATTGACTCCTCCCTTTCCTCTTACCAAAACATTATGAACACCCCGGCAGTTCAAGATTTCAAGGATCATGGGTTTCTGCCTTCGGACCCGCCGTGCAGGCGACTATGCTCCCCAACGTATCAGCCTTGGGAAGAAATGATTTCTCAATTGCCGGCCTTGATCAAGTCAGGAAAAATTCGGAACGAAACCAAGGAGCTACCGCTTCTGAGTACAAAGGAATTACACCACGAAACAGAGTGGAGACGCGCATATGTTATCATGTGCTTTTGGGCCCATGGCTACATTTGGGCCTCAAACCCTCCCGCAGAGGTTTGTCGATCACTGCTACGAAGACTGGTATACTAAAACTGTTTCCAGGTCCTGCCTTCGAACATAGCTGTTCCACTTCTCGAGACGTCTAACTTTTTGGAAGTACCTCCGGTCGCTACCTATGCCGCGTTGGCGTTGTGGAATTGCAGAAAGAGTGAGCCTGGCATGATACAGCTCGAGAACCTCACGGTAGAGCACACATTCACAGGCACAGACGATGAAGCTTGGTTTTACATAGTATCGGTCGCCATAGAAGCACAAGGCGGGCCGATCATCTGTCTCGTCGCTTCTGCAATTTCAGCCATGCAAGAGAAGAGATACGCAGCGGCGAATGAGTTTCTGTGGGAACTGGCTGTTCAGATTAGCAAACTTAGCGACATCTTAGGGAAGATACAGGAGAAGTGCCGCCCTGATGTCTTTTTCCACGAGCTCAGACCTTTCTTACAGGGTAGCACAAAATCAGCGGGTTTGCCGAGAGGTATTTTCTACGACGAGGGTCACGGAAAGGGAAGCTGGAGGCAGCTCAAGGGTGGAAGCAACGGGCAGAGCTCCCTAATTCAACTTCTCGACATTGTTCTAGGGGTAAAGCATGCCCCGTTACAAGGCAAATCTAGCGATGCACCTCAAGCGGAGTCGTCTGCATGTTTCTTTCGCGATATGCGAGAGTACATGCCTGGACCTCATCGACGATTTCTAGGTCAAATTGCTGATCATCCCAACCTCCGCGAGCTCGTTGGCTTGTCCGCAGGTGATGAGGCGCACAAAGAGCTTTGGGAGGCCTACACGGCCGCCACGCAAAGCTTGACTGAGCTAAGAACTAGACATTTAGCGATTGTCACTACTTACATCATCCGGCCATCCAGGAAGAGTGAGAGGCAGGAGGAAAAACGCGAAGAACTCCTTGGTACAGGAGCCACAGTGCTGGTCCCATTTTTGAAACAAGCTAGGAATGAGACACGTCAAGCAGGGAAAGAAATACTCGCAGGTTGATATAGCTCAAGCGGAGGGATGACTCTAGGAATAATGTATCTTACAGACCGTATGACATCTTTTGTGGGTGGAAACGCGGTTCTCGATTATCTAATCTGTCCGTATACTTAAATCCGGGTTCTTAAACTAACTTAGGCTGAAATTAGCTTTATATAAGGCTGTTGGGGGTATACTGTCTGAAAGATGTGTCCATAATCGATAACATATTCGAAAGACCAGAGCTTGGCGAATATATGTATTGTGAGCCATCTTGGCTGTCTGTGGAAGGTATTCCCAGAGGTATCGTAAATAGCTTGCGTATGCGCGTTGTGATGTGACTAGGGAGTACTCCGATCTACACACGCCTGCGATAATCCAACGTGATACCCACAAAGAGAAAAGCCATGATGAATGGAGATGTCGCCCTCCGCGCGACACGCTTATGCGGCTCATCAGCGGGTGTCCAGTAACAGACGGCCTGCAGAGTCGTGAAGGGCCACCCCCGGCGCTCCACCTAAGCGTCAATCACCTGGATGCAATCCGCATTTGATGCTGCGGTTATACTGGTGATCATGTCTAGTAGGCTACGGTTACAGGGGTGCTTTCTAGAAGACTTGGCGCAACTTTTGTTGCTAACTACTCTACCCTCGTCGTTTTCTTACTACTTAATCAAAAAATTCAGCTTCTTTTTATTTTTACTATAAACTTAAAATAGTAGTGGCATTCCTGCATTACAAGTCCATCTTTTGCTCTGATTCCCTCGGCTCTGAACTGTTGCTCGAACTTCCCTGACGGCTTTGACACCCAGTCGGGTCTGGCTGATATGTCCCATCTCAGGGTCTCTCTGCCGTCTCGCATGTCGAATCTGCTGGGACACTTGCCAAAAGAACCGGTGAATCTTTTTTGTATTCCTTGCGGGTCGGCAGACGCGCGCAGCACCAGCAGCAGTTGGCGTCTTCTGGGATTTCGTGTCGTGGCCAGGGGCTTCCATGTGGGTGTCTGCTGTTTCTTCAATCTTTGTAGCGCCTAGTGTCGTCTGCATCTCCACCATTTCCCAATCTGTCATGTTATCGTTTGAGCACTCTCCCTGCCCGCTGTTGTCAACGGGCCCAGAAGTCGGCAGGCAAACATTATTATCGCAAGTTGATATGTTGGCATCCATATCAAACATGTCGTGCATGCCAACCTCAAGCAACCTCATAAAAGAGACCTCCTCGGCCGCGTTGGTCTCACCCGCGACATTAGCGTCACTAATGGTAAATTCCGCTGTCATTTCGTTGAGATTTTGACTAAACAGGCACGTTTCTGTAGACAACTCATGTTGTGCTGGGTTCATGGGATCTTCATCCAAACCAGCGTCGTCTTTTTGCGCGTCCAACGCGAGGCCGCCGAAATCGGCAACATAACTGTCGATAGCTTCGACGTCGTGGGGGGCATCTGGCTCCTCGTGCGCAATTTCCTTGACATCGTCATTCGCATTCGCGGCTTCAGCTGCGCTGGCATCGTCCTCCCTCGTCACACTGCCTGCGAGTTCACCGAATTTGTTATCGCTCGTTTCCATTGTAGCGTGACTGGACTCAGGGGTAATAGTTTCCCCCCGTCGACGGCGTGTGGCCCGGCGCGTGGCCCTGCGTTGGCCGCCGATCCTAGGCATGCCGTTCGCGAGTTCCGCAAGCTAGTCCGGACCCATGTCAGTTCAAACCGCTCAAGCCTCAAGAGACTGTTCTGTTGCCAAGACTCACAAACTGGTTTACGTCGGGAATACTTTCGCCTTGGGGGACGTACACAGCCCCGTCTAGTTTTCCATACGTCGGATTGAAATGGATAACGGCCGAAAATACTCGGGCACCCTTGCCCAGCTGCACGGCTTTGCGTTTCGCGCTTCCTCCACATTTTCGGACCTTCTCTTTAGCCTTTTTGTCATATACAAAGGCGACCTCGCCGCCCGATGTCACAGGAGCCATGGCTATGTGCCTTGAGAGATTCTAATAGAACGTAGGTTCGAATTTGATCTAATCGATCACGGTATTGGCTGAGACTGCATGCCGTGATGTGACTGCATCGCTCTCAAATATGACTTCTCTCGGATAAAAGCCATAATAAGCTCTATGGTATGCTGTGATATGCTACGCTTCGAGCTCTCAGTACTTTTTCTCTCCCTTACGACTTGTACGGTATAGCGCTTTGCAGATGTTGAGCCGATTTGTGCTCTACCAGCCGCAACTTAGACAGCTAAAATGGCTTTCCAACCGTGTTTGCAGGCTGCGCCATCTTTTAAGACCAGATGGCTAGCAACTAGGCATTGTCTATAAGCGTTGTTCTGGACGACGAGTCTTTCGCGTTGCCCCTGCATCCACTACATCCAAGTTCTGCTCTTCGTGACAGAAGATGACTTGACTACTACATATGTGATAGGATTTAGACTGAGGGATAAGAAGCAGCTTGGTCTCGATCACTTGTGGCAAAATAGCGACTAGGTTACAGTACAGGGGTCAGCGAAAAGGGCTTCATGCTTATTCTCAACTCTCTGCAACTCTCTGATGTGTTTCCGCACGGACGTCTGGCATCTTGGCATCGACACAGTTTGAACTAGCACGGCGATACCAACCCACTGGAGCTCTTCACTGACAGGGTTGCTCCATCAATTTCTTAGAGCAAACAATGGCTTTTGTGTCATCAACACGAGGGGTCTTAAGTGGGTTGAAGGGCCAGTTTTGGATTACCCAACGTCTGTCATTGGAGATGGAGAACATGTTCAACTGTGTGGATCCGGTCTAAGCTGACGTACACCACATCTACGATGTAGATCTGTAAAACAAACAAAATAACCACACTGTGTAAGCAGCAAAAAGCTTACACGTCCGAGCGGAGAGAGATCAGAGAGTTGGGAATAGGATGAAGGCTTTTTCGCTGACTACTGTATAAAAAGCCGGAAGTCAAGAACACTAAACGTTTATAACCTACAACCATATGTACAGCAAGCACGGAAATTGTCTAATACATTAATTTTACTTAATTGTGCGCTAAATAGAGAGAAAGCAACATCCTCATCCTCCATCAAAATACACGTCTCCCTGCCGAATCCATACTGGCATCTACGCGGAAGGTGGGTTGAACCGCGTTCGGAAGTGCTCCTGTTCAACCAGTTAGAGCCAATAAAGATGGTATTCACTGATCCCCTACACGATTCTTAGGCGGCAAAATCTTGTGTTTTCTCTATTGATACGTCATGACCCAAGACCCTTGTGGTTATTGAAAGTGGTAGCTTTGGAGAATGCTGAAGGACTGTTTCCACATTCATTCCGTGCAAATCATTCAAGAACTCTTCGTCCGTGCTATCGTCGTGATAATTGACGGCCACGGTATATACATGCGCTTCATAGGGATGTTGCAAACTTTCTTTAATATCTGGAGCTGACGCCGACGGAGGAGATCGGTTTTCTGTAATGTACGCATGTTGAGTTGGTGACGGAAAGATTTTGTCGGGAGAGATGAGCTTTCTAAGCATGTCACCTAGGGTCTGTCGGGCTTGTAATGAGAGAAGTGAAGTGGTCTGATGCCCTGGGACTGCCAGGTTTTGCTCCCGGGCGGGTGGCCCTCTTTAGTACTATGGTATTAGTGGCGTTGCCTGTGTCTCCGTGGCTTAGCTGATTGCACTTGCGTAACTCGCCTTTCACTTCACTGTCATGTGGGAATAAGATGGGGAGAAACCGCGGGAAGCGTGCTATACTGTAGGCAGTTGGCACTAGCCAGATTATTCAGAAGGGCTATCAAAAGCAGCTAGACTCTCAAGAACGACACAAATGGAGGCTAGGCTTATACTAAATCGTTGATTGGCTGGATTTCTAAACGTGGTAACCCTGACCCTAGCGTCAAGACCGTCTTGGTCCAGAAAATGGGACTACAGTACGGAGTCAATTCTTACTTACGAGTCAGAGATCCATGTCTCTCCACACAAATTAAACCAATGGAGCTACTTTCTGCTCTGAGTCACCTGGAGAATCTAATTCGGACCCCTCCCTGTCGCAAGACTCGACACTTGATTGGGTGATGGTCCATGTCATTTTGCGTCAACGAGGGCTTCCACATACAAGCATCATCCCAGAGAGGAGGTTGACAGAGGACTAGTAAGCTACTCAGTATTTTATAGTAGGTATCGCTCGACGTGTGGCATTGTGGGTACTACACATGCGGGGCGTGTCCTTTTGCAGCCAGCAGCAAGCCACTTCTTTTCTCAACCGGCCGTACCATAGTACTAAGAAGCGGGCGAATGACTCGACCAGAGTCAAATGAACGCCTGCAGCTAAAGCGGAGCGGTTTGTCGCAATCTTCTTTTAGTTTATTGCTACTGTGGTATTTTTGATCTTTATTTGCTTCAGCCTTTGTCTTTTGTTCAGGTTACTGACGTAGACCTGTAGATAGCCGCATTAAACGTCAAGGCTCTATGCCATCGAGTGGTTTTGGGCTATATGTGGTGGTCTTCACTAGATGACATAACGTTTTTGATTGGCTATAGCCCTACGTGCCATGTGCTGAAGATAGTAAGGTGCCTGTCGCTTACATTCTCTCTCAATGTGTTCCAGACTTAACTTTCGAGTGTGTTTCACGAGGACAGATGGATGATATGCTATCTTGCGACAAAGTGCACAACATCCGTTACGTGTCCTTGGAAACTAAGTTAATAAGAATCATAACTTCCGATCTTAAGGCCTAAAGACTACTCTCAATTTTCACCTGGTCCAGTGTTACGGCCAGCTAGTGACAGTAGGGTGTCTGCTGACAGAAGTTGAGGCTACAAGATTAACTATAGGTTGAGTATCGTTTCACCGGTAGGTCTTATTCGTAGATCGCAGCTGTGAGCTAAGCTGAAAGTCATTCAATGATTAATCGCAAGTTGGTTGCTGAAGAACTATATGAGATGCCTTGAGCAGGTGCTCAAGTCCTGATCTATACATGTCCTGGAGTGAGCGTCTTGGGTGGTTTTGGTGAGCGCTTACCCTGCTAATCATGAGCGCTTACTGATTTTTTATCAGTGCTTCCTTCCTTATCCTCACGTGGCCTGTACATAGTATGCTCGTTCTTCCGCTGCAGAGGGTGACCCATTGTTTCCCGTGTGTCTTGTATATGTCTGGCGGCGTAGCTGCTGGCTTGGGTGGGCCTGTCAACCCTCTGTTAGGCATAACGATCGGGTCTTAACATCCAGCCGTTATCGCACGGATAGAAACCTATTATGAATTTCAGCATATTTGCGGCTGTAGAAGTAACCTGTTTAGCACTTCAAACCAGAGGAAAACGATCAGACTTTATATGCAGGAAACAGAAGGGAGCTTAGCAATATAATAACACTCAGCTCAGAAGTAAAGATCATTTACCAAGACTGTTCGTTTCCAGAAGCATCACGAACTATTATTACAGCGGCTCGTATGACAACGTATGAGTGCTACTGTCTATTATTAGTTGCATTCGTAAAAGATGGGGGAAAAATAACGAATAAAAAATCTATACACCAGTCGACGGAAAGCTTCGTAGAAAGACTAACACCAGAATAAATCATTATTCCAAAAAGACCGATGTCTACCGCCGGTACTAATACCGAGAACAAGAACGAACTGGCGTTTCGAAACCAGCTCCCCGCCCAGGTCGTATCGCCTGCAAGACGCTCTGCGTACACCACCATCTAGGGTACGGGATTATAGTCTAAAAGGAGCTTGTCAACATGACAGCACTCAAGGGGTAAAGGTCATCTACCAAGAAATTGACTAACCAGGAGTGTGCATGGGGGTGTGTGATTCCAGCATCATGGGGTCCTGTCATAGCGATTCGGCTGATTACAAGGGTGATATTGTGTATTATTAGTTACGTTTGCGAAGAAAAGGGGTAAGGAAACCACCTATAAAGCCTAAGCACCGGAAAGCCTCGCAAAATGAATGGCACAAAAACGAAGTATAACTCCAAGAAGAAGGATGTCTATCACCGGCACTGGTATCGAGAACAAAAACGAAGGACGCGGAGCATATGATGCCACTGGCGTTCCGAAGCCACCATCCCATCCACAGCCTAAGCCTAGATAGCAGATAATGAGGTAAGTCCTGTCGACGACATTGCCGTTTGTTCGGTCTAACACGATGCAGTCGGATGGCGATTCCGTGGAGTATAGAGTATCCGAGGGTCGATTAAGTCGCGAGGGCCAGGGAACTTTCGCTGCACATATCGGTAACACTTCTGGCTAGAATATTACAATTTTAAAATATCAAGTTCTTCAACAAATGCAGATAGACTAGTAGTACCTTCGAGAACCGCCTTGTATGATATATGTTGCCAGTTTAAAAGCTGCCTCTGCTGTGAGAGAGTTCTGTAGAAAAAGGCAGGCAAAATTCATGGAAATCGATAAGCCGCTACTTAGATTCCTTTTTCAATGCTTCTTGTTTCGTTACTTATAGCATCTTCCGGAGTCGGAGCGTCGTCTTTAACATACGTTCCATACAAAGCAAATGTGCCGTACCGGTTATTGACATCATGCTTGGCCTTTTAAACCAGAAGTTCGTATTCTTAGTCGCGGTCAAATCATGAATAGCGTCGGCCATTTTCTCTAAATTTCAATTCAAGCAGTAGACGTAAATCAGCTCTGGCCCATACTTCTATCTCCCATCAGCACCATTCCAAGTCACCCTATCGTCCTGCCCCGACCACCCGGGAAAAGGTTGGTCTAACGAAGACGGCCCCAAAGTGAGACAGCCAGAAAGAAACCAAGATATATTGAAAAGCGGCTAAAGCTGGCATCATGCGAAGCGGTTGCGCTGACGGGGAGAGTCGCGGTGGTGTGCACTGTTGGCTTGTGATATGTCCAAGACGGTTCAACATTGCCACCAGACTTTGTTGCTGCGGTGATTGTTGTTGCTGCTATTTGAATGCTAGCGATTGTGCTGACGTTTAATGCTTCGTGGCCCAGACTAGCATTCCAGAACCGGTGGTTAGATACGAAGGTGTTAGGTAGTGCGGTTGTATGAACTGCTGTCGTGGTGATCGCGTCGCCTCCAGTGGCCCATGTACAAATTCGAGAAAGCTCAGTCGCCGCGCCTGAAGACGACGGGACGGCACTAACTCTCGGAGGAGCCGCAGTATACACATTGGCGAACGCCCAGATCTCCATTGCGGCGGAATTCAACTTCGCTCGATACACGACTGAGGCTACGAAGTAATCTTTTGACCAACCCGTTATATATGGCATTCATAGAAGCCGAAAATGGCTCTAAAACCTACAGCGTTGCTCGTAGTACGCAATCCTGTTCTCAAAAATGTGGGTAATGAAAGTGCTGCCAGATTTGGCTCAACTGGCATGCTGTCATATACAGCCCTGATAACGTGAGACGTTGATCGTATCTCCATCGCGAACTTGCATCATCAAAGATGACACGACTGTCTTCGCAAACCCCGCTCCCTATTTATTTCGAGCGAACAATAACTGATAGATATGAAGACCTTTTATTCTTCCCCACCGCGACAGATCATTCTTCGCCAGCAGCAGGACCAGGAACCCTCCCCAACCCCGCTGTATCTCAGCTTGGGATAAAAAAAGCGCATAGCGTTATGGCTAGCAGCACCAGGGACCAACCAAAGTCGCCGTTCCGCCCGGAGAGCAAATTCTCGTTAGTAACTACACTCTCGTCATCAGGCCCAACAGTATGTCTGAGAGACTTGGAGCTCATCAAGGGATAACGTTATGGGCCAATTATCTTGAGGTCAGAGCATCCGCAATACTTATGAAGTAATTGAAGCATCGCACTGGCCCTCGGCTATATGCCGTTCGACCAGACATGGGCTACCATGAAGCGAATCCAGTCAGAAATAAAAGCTTTTCGCGCTTCCCCTCGATCCTGGAATGTAGAAGCAGGACTATGTATCCGTCTAACTTGCACGTTAAAGCTTTGTGGAGCCGTTGAGAATTCACAGACGGGAGGCACCGATTTAACCCTACTGTACTGTACGATAATACTGTACTTTGTCTACAATCATGCTATTATTTCCCTTTGGCATGCTGCTCTGGATAGCGAAATGTGGTGATACTGTATCTTGGAATGAGTGGTTAAGACATAACTGTTTTGAGTCGTACCTAGCGTAAACCAACGGCTGGCGGACATCCAAATCGGCTACCATTGAAACACAGGGGGGCAACTCCAAACGCCAGGATAGACACCTATCACATGACCATCGTGGGACATAAAGTAATACGCCGTTCTGCCATTGACAAGCTCCATGACAAGTTTACCGTTCGTAACCCAGCTGAACGTAGCTCCAGGTGTGATTGATTGACTGACATTGCGATTGTTCCTCTTCCTCGGGCTATGATGGTCGGCAAGCAGTCAGTCTTTGATCATACTGAAACTATAACGTCTGACACGTACCCTGGACCACGTAGCCTGGGAGGTTTTCCTTTCTCGCTTTGGACTGAAGGAGGCGGCGGTTTGAGACTGGCGAAGGGGTCCAGTTCGGCTTTCGATGTTATTGTCATATACCTGACAGGAAATTGGGATGTTGTCAAAACTCACGCTTTGGCGCAGCATCCTGCATCTTCACGAATGCCATATCCTTCTCAAACCGCGATGGTCAACGCACGCCACGTAATATTGTACTAGTATCGACACCGAAGTTCGTCACTGTTTCCGGCTCGTAACGGTTTGAATTTTTTTGTAGTATGATTTTCAATGATGGACTTTGATTTGGAAAGGAGTCATTTATAATACATAGTGTTAGAGGTTTGACTACTGTAAGGCCCTTCTCACTAGGTGACTATACCTTTTGCCAACATGACTTGATGCGCCGGATATGGCCACAACAAGCTTTAAATATAAGCAAGATAGCCGGTTCAGGAACTGCCTTGCAAGGGTGGTAAAGCCCGCTGTGAGAGGCTAGCTGCGTTGAGGCGACTCCGGATAGAGGTTGGTGGGATTGCCAGACGATAATGAGATATTTCCTGGCTACAGTACTGTATGTATAAGCGACACTTACTGTATGTTTGCGTCGGATTTGTGTCCCATGGCCTTGGTTTGTACACATGCTAAATCCAATTTTGGATTTTCCCGGAGATGCTGCAATATGCTGCAGCCAACCGCACAGAACCAAAGCTCCCTGCCTGATCCTGAGTAAGCACGGGTCCTAAGGACAAAAGGATCAACCAATCCCTTGATCGCGGTATACTGTACGTTGTATGAGCAACTCTAACGTATCTGAACTTTCACATCCAGAGCCAGCGGCAACGGATCTTGGGTAATCTCTCTCAGACTGGAAATCCCTGTCGAGATTACTCTAGATGTTTACGCCTGCCTCGCTGTACCACTAGTGGAGTCTGTCTTGGCTGAACAGTACCTTGCAACAGAAAATCTTCGTTTCGGCCTGGTTTTTAGCCTCATTCGCTTGGTTACGGCCGACTTTAGTTTCCCACACGATAGTTCCAAAGAGCGACCAAAACGGATTTCGGAACATGTCAGCAGCGGATTCTGGCTCTGCTGATTGCTGCTACTCAATGAGAATACGGACTCTGTCTCACAGAACTGCTGTTTCTCAGTGGCAATCGGCAGATTGTGAAGTAAAATAAGAACGAGATGTGCCCTTCTGCTTCATCAGCATCCATCACGTACGTAGTTAACAGGCTAGCTTCATCTAACTGTTCAACTCGCCCTTAGCCAGACGAAAGCTTCATTTCACGGAATGGAGCATCCAAACCAATACTCTTTAGACCCATTAATCGGTTCTAATCCGTATTCCTTGGAAGTCGAAGAGGATGCTGTCTCTTATGATTCATGGTCGTCTGGTGTAGACACGCCATCTTCCAGTGATAACAGTGACGCCGACCGGGTTGTTACACTAATACAGGACGCGCCAACTGACGAGTTGTCTTACCCGGGATATGAATATCCAGAGCCACCCGGAACGTTGTTTTCGGCTTGGAGAGCCTCTGACAGGAGCAGTGACGCTACTAGCTTGACACTTGCCTCAACGGGTGATTGGCATGGGGATCGGGAAGAACAAGAAGGCGACAGAGCAGATTTGGTACATACCACTTGCCAAAGGCCATTACAGCTGGGTGCTCTCTGACATACAAGATAGAACAACTTCATTTTCCATGTTTTAATTCGTACGCCAGAGCGCCTATTCAGACGCGAGGTATCAACGAATGCTTCGCATCAGCATCAACTCGACTGTGGGCTGAAAACTCAAGTCTTACACAATATCCTCCGAAGTTTTACGGATCTGTCCCTACGAGACTCGATTGGAGACACAATTCTGCATACCCTGGCAGGTGATTTTGGGTTGCCTAACTTGTCAGCGGAAACCGAGGGTTATGACATCCTTCAGCGGCTCTTCGACATTGGGCCGGGCGGTTTCGGGCCATCGGTAAAGTCCCACTGTCTGTCTATGATCGATTCAAGAAATGAAGGGTATTGCATGATGGACGAAGACCCTGCGGAACCTTTCATGCATACGCCACTCGGGGTCGCCATCTTATACAACAACCTTGCCTGCGCTGAGCTTTTGCTCCAACACGGAGCCGATCCAAACATCCCAGGAGAGTGGGGACAGCGTCCGCTGTTCTTTGCCCAGCGGAACAACAGCGAAGAAGCAATCGAACTGCTGACCGCCTACGGAGCTTACCTTTGACGAAGCATAACACAAAGGAGGTTAGTCTTGCGTAATTAACCAACAGGGTCCACATAGTGTTTCGCAGGAGAATTTCTTGTAATTTGATCTATTGCAGCAAGCCAGACAGACCAATCCCCGGCATCGGCGGCAAATAGCAATTGTCTGTACTGGCAATCGCAGCATTAGATACCTGGTCCCACTTTTACGAAAGGTTCTAGGATGTCATACATTCACTACTACAGATAAAATCAGTTGCACATTCTATATGTACTGCTCGTTTAACTGATTCTATTAGAAAATGACTCTTAGGTCCGTTTCTCTGGCGCGGAAGATTAGAGCACTTCTGGTCCCAGCCGAAGTCATTGGTGGGGGGGGGGGGGGGGGGGATGACTCCACTACCCGAGGAAACAAACCCTCTTTGCGCCAGTTCCGACGCTTGCAATCTAATCGTTAATTGACCGTTCATTATGGGTTTATAGAAACTAGCAAACCCGGCTCGTTCCGATCTCCCCCTATCCATGACCATGTATCTCGTCATTTCCAAGCAGCGACATTTTTGCAGGGCACCAAGGAAACAAACAAGCTCAAAATTGCACTTTCCATAGCGACGCGATACGAACATAGTATTCGACGCCCTGTGTTGGTCCGAAATGCCATGGCGCTGCTTTTAGTTGGCTCCATAACTGTGCCTTCGCGACATATCGACGGAAGACCTCGAAAGGGTGTGAAAGAGCTAGAATCAGCTTTTGTTAGTGACACCTGACGATATCGAAGCTGTTCCTACACAGTACTAAGTCGCCTTTTAAGGCACGGAAATGAAAAATGAAGAGAAAGAGAAAGAAAGATTGAGAAACAAAAATTGAATGAAAAGGACTTGATCTAGTGAACCTGCCACTGTATGTATTATCCGTCCACACTCATACCACTTCATTACCGTTTTGGATACCTCTCCTATCCCCATCACGATGAAAGGAACTAGCGCAGATACGCTTGAAACAGACGTCATCATTGTTGGCGCGGGATTCAGCGGCTGTTATTCACTGCTCAAGATCCGACAGGCGGGATACTCGGCCAAAGTTCTTGAACGTGGAAGTGACTTTGGCGGCGTTTGGCACTTCAATCGATATCCCGGAGCCAGGGTCGATTCCGACACGCCCTGCTATCAGTTCAGCTTGTCCGAAGTTTGGGCTGACTTCCATTTCACCGAACGTTTTCCCGGGCATGAAGAAATTCGCAGATATTTTTATCACGTCGATGCAACTCTTGGTTTGCGCAAGGATACCATTTTCGACGCCCGAGTGGACGAAGTGAGATTCGACTCCACGGACAGATGCTGGCATTTTCGCACGACAAAGGGTCTGCATGCGACCTCCAAGTACGCAATCTTCGCATGCGGTTCGATGAACAAGCCTTACATGCCTCTTTTCCCCAATCAGGACATGTTCGGTGGGCCCGTCATTCACCCGTCCGCCTGGCCCAGCAACATCCAGCTTACAGGCAAGAAGATTGGCATCATCGGGCAGGTTGCGTCTGGTCTGCAGATCGTGCAGGAGCTTGCTAAAGTAGACTGCCAGCTAACAGTCTTCGTTCGGAACCCCTGCATCGCGATCCCCATGCACCAAAGACAGCTGTCGAAGCGAGAGTCAGAGGAGATGAAACACTATTATGACGCCATATTTACCAAAGCCAGGTTCGACTCGTCCTCGGCTCTGCCCTATAACCAAAATCCTAATTTGCTACGCTACACGACTGAGGCGGAACGGACAGGCCTTTTTGAACGACTGTGGGATAGGGGTGGCCTTGGTCTCACGCAATCGAACTATCGCGATATTGTGTTTGACAAGACGGCTAACGCCTGCTTGTACGACTTCTGGGTCAGCAAAACGAGAATCCGGATGACGGACCCCGAGAAAAGAGACATTGTTGCGCCTTTGGACCAGTTCGAATGGGTTGGAGCGTCACGCGTCAACCTCGAGATAGATTACTACGAGATGCTGGATCGGCCGAATGTCCAGCTGGTAGATCTCAAGAAGACACCAATCCATTCATTCGACAGGCAAGGGATTGTAACCAAGGCCGGAGACGCCACCATCCACCACGATTTGGACATCATCATCATGGCCACCGGCTATGACTCTGTGACTGGTAGCTTGCTTGACATGAATATCCGCAACAAGCACGGCGTCCGGCTACAGGATGCTTGGCAGCACGGCATCAGCACCTATCTTGGCATGATGGCTCCCAATATGCCCAACGCATTCGTGCTGTACGGGCCGCAAGGGCCGACAACGCAAACGAACGCACCGCCCTTTATTGAGCTTCAGGTTGACTGGGTAGTCTGTCTCCTGGAGCGGATGCGCGAAGACGGCCTGCGTTCGATCGAGCCATCGGAGGATTCTTGCCGCTCGTGGAGAAGTCTCGTACTGGAGGCCTTCGAGTCGACCCTTTTCCGCGACAGCACTGCGTGGTGGACTGGCGCAAACGTTCCCGACAAGACTGTTGAGCCCCTTGTCTTTCTAGGGGGGGTCCCGCGATGGAGACAATGGTGTAGCCGTTCGCTGGAGGACTGGGCAAGTTTTGTCGTGTCATAGCAGCCCCGATTGGTTCGGGCTTTGTGGTGTGGTAGGAAAGACGCGGAGAACTTGAGTAGGTTGTTTTCAATGTTTACTATCTAATTTTCGCCTTCTATGCATGTCGCTGCTAGGTGGGTATTGGGCGTAGTAGCCAATACGTTATGATTTCGTACTTTATGGAAATCGACGAATCAATCAAAGATGCGATAGGAAACTCTTCTTCTCAATTATAGTTCTGACTTCTGACTTTAAGGGTAAGTCCTGGGGGCACTGGAGCGGTGAGTTCCCACCGGGGCAATTCCTGCTGAGGGACATCCTGATATTTGCTAGGCCCAAGCCGATAGCATAGAAAAGGTACCCTAACTAACGTCGCTGATGCGATTGGCTGATCTGAAGCCTTTTGCAACTTTCTTTATAACTTTCTTAAGTGGGGTAACTGTAGTAAAGATAAGAAGGCTTTGCGGTAGAAAGAACGATACGTTTAATGGGAAAAAAGGATGTCTGTGGCGACACTTAATCAAGTGACGACAACTCCCTACGTCTCCTTTCAAATCAAGTGGTATAGCATCATACCAGGGTGCCTAGTAGAGCACTTCACATGTGCCTAGGAGACCACTGGCTATATATCGAATCGCGGCTAGATGGAGGCAAGCAGTTTGACTTCTTCTCAGTTGACTGTTTATTTCTGGTCTCTCGTTTTCGTACAGTACTGTACTGCAGCGTAAAAAGTAGCAAATTGCGAGTTTACTTGTGAAGCACTTTGCGGCTATATCCAACTATGGCTTTGCTTATTCATGAGATACTTGTTTACGTTCAGTACTACATTGAGGATAAGCGGCGGCTTTGCGCTATTGCATAGTCTTGAGGAAACAACCTGAAGATGACTCAAACCCATTTCAACTATCTGCTTCCAAAGGGCCCCATACTGTCAACAAAAAAAAAGGACAACTGGGAACAAGACTTATTGCAAGACGCCCTATAGCCTCTTCTGGAATGCAGTTTGAGGTCATAGTTGTCTCTATAGATCTACGCCAACGAACTGCTGGGAGGGCCGAACACGGTAGGAGTGAAACCGTAGTTTAAGATAAAGAGCTGGTTCTGGCTGCGCAAGAATGTCGACGTCCTTCTGGCAGGCCTTGCGAAAGCAGCTCTAACAATGTTGCCGTAGTTGAAAAGAACGCAATGTCTACGGTCTGATAATCGATCTGAACCGAACTGCCGTATCTTGCATCAACATGGATGTGCCTTATCTTACGCTTAACGGCAGAAGCGACAACCTCACCGCCAGACTCGTCGCAATCATCGTACAGGAGATGACAACGTGCATTTCACGCTGGCGCGAGTATGCCACCTCGAAAGATTCCCAGCTCCAACAACTTCATAGAGAGAACCAGCAATACAAGGCACGCATCGAAGGGCAGTGTCAGACCATTAGCGAGCAAGAGGAACGGATCAGGCGTTTGGAGTTCGAGATGTTTCCTATGGAGATATCTCCCATGGAGCTGACATGCCGTACAGTTATGTGCAAATATTCCTTCCTCTTTCAAAACACTCTTTTATTCTCTAAAGCTTCTCCACATAGTGTGAAATATTCTCTGGAACACACTGTCTATAGTTACACACTTGCGTACCGGCTAGGAAAAAGCGGTTATTCCAGGTATTGTGGCCTGTTGCCTACACTGTCATTATGTAATTGGATTAAACACGGGCATTTGCTATATACCTTTGAGTACCTCCAGCGCTAGGTAATCACTGCCAATTGCAGCTTATTTAAGAGCCATTTCTGGATTATTGTCGACCATGCTAGGTAGATCTGAGTACTTTTCTGGCTCCACTCTGATTTAAGAGTGAAGTTGTTTGTATTCAAAGAGGAAGGTATTTTTGCACATAACTGTACCGCGTCGCCAGCGGCGTTTTCAATGACGCTACGAGGCTCGAAGACGTCTGGTTCCATGAAAGACTTACATTCAAGCTTTGTGGGGGATGCATTGGGTGATGCCCCGCAGGAGACGTATGGTCAAATACCCGACGATGATAGTGCACACAATATGGACGACGTTTTTTCCCCACTGTTAGCCTTGGCAGTGACTGCAGCAGAGGACACGACCACAAAGGATGCTGAAGCAAGGGATTTGCCGCAGACCGAGAGCAAGAGCCCGATGAAAAGGCACATAGAAGAGGTAGAAGTTGCTTCGAAGCGGGTCCGTCATGTGTGACTCAAAGGTCATTAAACATGTATGGTTGCTGTCGGCAGTTCCTATAGCCTTTGGTGATAAGTAGAGCTCAATTACTGAGGACAGCGACAGCTCATCACAATACAAGCCAAGTATGCAATGAGCGCAATTGCGTCTAATAGTATACAGACGTGATCTGGAAAGTGAATTACACAAGTCGTGCCACTAATTAGAAGGTATCCGGGAATCTAGTGAGTATGCTAGAGAGGAAGCGACTTGAGCTCACAGCTGCAACTGCAAATATGCAAGTGTCGTTTGAAGTACTGTATTCAGGTCATCCCAAGATCGAATCAAAGCATTCAATCTGAGAGCAAACATCGAGGAATCGTCTTATAGTTCTGTAAGGTCAAAATAGACATGCCCTTCACGAATAATCGACATAAACGTGATCAATTACTGTACAACCTTCAGGACGACTCCCATTCATAGGTATTCTCCGCAATCTGCTAGGCCTCGGGTGTTTTATTCCAATATCCCTTCACGAGACCTGTCGCATTCTCTAGATTGGCTTCCGGCTCTATAGTCGTGTCCCATTGAATCTTATAGTGAGCTAAGCCGTCCACATTCTTCCTCCCGATGACCTCTCCTGACCAGTTTTCCAGAGTATGGTCGAGTTGATTTACCAGCTTTCTTCTGGTTTCAGGGTAGCCATGGCAGTTGTTCCAAGCAATTATGGAGGGTAGCATGTGCTGAAGTCTGTCTTCAGATTCCCAGGTCGGTTTCCAAATTACGTGGTAGTAGATTGTGTCGTCAACGACGCAGTGTCGTTGAATCCGCTCCATCTCCCACTCGGTTGCGGATGTGCCATTCTCATTCTTGTTTTGGTCGCCTGGTTGTTTCCTCATGGTGAATGTTTCAAGGCGTGAGCGTATCCACAGAGTATGACGGATTGTACGTAGTAGGCGCCAGTTGTAGCTTGATAGGCAGGCAGTAAAAGGTAGGCTAACGTTGCAGTTTAAGCAAAGGTGGCTTTTCTTATAAGAACTGTTCAACAACATGTATTGGCGGATAGAAATGGTCTGATATGCTTGTTGAAACCTCACGTGACCACAGTGACTGATCTTTCTTTAGATAAGGCATGAAGCCTGAGCGCTTATTACTACGGGCGAGCGAGCGGGGGCCAGCTTGCGACTAGGAAAAACTCCAGAAATTGACATGCCATTTATGGTCGAAATCAGTTTTTGGATCATTGTTTAGAGGCTCTCTCGACGCAGTCGATTGTGAGTTATGGCAGCATTTGCTGACAATGGACGTACGGACAGATCATACAATACGCGTCAGAAGCAAACACCGCTTCTTTGTGGAAGTTAGAAACAACTGAAGGATTGCCCTGTTTGCTTATGTAAGTTTTGCCAAGAGTCATTTGTTGCTTTCTGGAGATTTCTGTCAACAACGTAACTAGGGATTCCGCGTTTCCCTACACACGCTCTCAGCATAAAGGCAATTCCTCAGTTTAGAATTGGAGGTTTATGCTGGTCGTGATGTTCCCACAACCAATTATAACTCGCTGGACACACCTGCAGCTCATGCCCGTATGTTACACTCAATGAAGTCAACGAAAGCGCTCATGGAGGTACCCACGCGAAACGCTGCAAGTCGCCTGCCAAACTCAAGATCTCGGCAACGGCTTTACACCATCATCTTCATTACTGTCATTGTCTTCACCACCATCTCCCAATCACATGATGACCAGAGCGACAGATTTGCGCCGGGATGGGGTGCGGGAACTAGTCGTATACTTGGGACGAATGGCCCCACAACGTTTTTTGATTGGAGATCCAAGCCATGGCGCCAATGAGCATCGCGCAGGACTTCGAAGCTCGGCCATTTGACAGACATGGAGGCTGCGCCATTAAATCACATGTTCAATCCATGCTCGATTCGCGGCGGCAAGACGAGATACTAGCGACATTGTCATGAATGTGTTTGCTGTTCTATGTCCAGCCGGAGATGAATGTCATAGGGCGAAAACCCCCATCGCAAGGGTGAGCCGATGCGCCTGAGAGCGTGGTGCCCCGTATTAGCCTCTGCGCCTTGCTCCAAAATGTAACGGGATGCGCCAAATCCCTGTTGGCGGAGGGCCTACTTGGATAGTTGCTCAAACTGATAAATAGGTTGGCTAGAAGCTAGTGCACTTCTTTTGTTTATATCCTACGCACTGCATTTGTTGCTTCCTTTACTCTCACGCACGAAGCACGAATTTCTCTACACATTGCACACTAATCATCCCATTTCCGTACTTGACCAGACACTTCATATGCCGTCAACTATGCACATTGCGCCAACGGCTCCGATGGACTGTTCAGAAGAGTTAAGCAGTCCTGTCGCAAAGTCTGAAGATGCTACTGTCTTCTGGAACGATGTACTAGGTATGATGTTCTATTTGATGCCCATTTCGATACTAATTTGTAAACAGTCGCAATAGAGAAAGTCTTAGTCGCAGCTGACAGGCAGATCCAGCGCTTCGATGCTGAGGAGCTGGTTGCCCACCGTCTCGACGAGGCATGTGACACTCAGTTTGAGACCCAAGTCCGTTGGAAGGGAAAAGATGAGACCTGGGAGCCTGAGGAAAATATCGCAATAAAGAAAGCCACAGTTGCCACCGATTCGATGTGCGGACGCGTTCATGGAACTGCGGCACAAGATGTCGCAGCTGACACGCAGATCCATCGCTTCGTTTTTGAGGAGCTGCTTGCGCACCGTCGCGACCCGACATGTGACACTCATTTTGAGATCCGAGTCCGTTGGAAGGGAAACGATGAGACCTGGGAGCCTGAAATAAACATCCAGAAAGATGCTCCGTTGGCCTTGTTCGCTTACTGGAAACGCCTGAAGGGCGGACGGGAAGGTGCGATGGTGGACAATGGATTGTGGCACCCTTTCAAAGTCGAGTCTCACAAGATCAAACCCGCTGGGAGCGTCTACTTGGAGGTCGCTTGGGTCGGGTCTCCTGAAACATCTTGGGAGCCAGAAAAAGAAATTCAAGAAGCTGACGAGAAACTTGTGAAAAGGTACTGGGCGTCTGTTGGCGGCCGTGCTGCGGCAATGAAGAGACCGACCGAGGTTAAGTCTTCGGTAAGGATGAACAAGAGTTGCAAGGTGACGCATCCGAGCCGTTCTACAGGTAAACGGAGCCGTTCTAGGCGACACAACAGCTTGGAGCAACCGACAGAGGAAAAGACCAGCACCATGATAACGTTTGTGGTTCGGGTTCTTGCGCCGGTTTTCTGTCTGCGAAACCCATTTCGCCTAGTAAGAAGGAAACCATGCGTTCTTTGCCTGTGCCTAAGGGTGACAATAAAAATTCAGGGGAAAGTCTCCAATAAAGACGTTAATTACAAAAGAAATAGTAATCCCACCTACCTGAATCTCATGTTTCATAGACACGACACGACTTACCACAGTAAGAGCCACCGAGACCTGTGTCGGCAGTCTCAGAATTGTGGCATGTCTATGGCGTGAAAAGGTTGCTACGTAATTGACGAGCTAGTTTGCTTCCAAGACGGTGCTCTAGGGCAGCTGCCACTACTCATAGGTCGATGAATAGCTTTCTATCGCTTGACGGTGTATTTGATAAAAGTTTAGCCACACAGCAGTCACGAGCGCAAAACCACAAGAAGAGTCAGCAATAGCTAAAGATGTTCGGGACCGATCAGGTTCATGCTGAAGGCCTATGAAGTATGCCTCTTTGAGAGGTTGGTCCTATTTTGGGAATAAGTAAAACCTGACCATACGGTAGTGTTAGATATTGCCTGCAAACTCAAAGACTATGGCAGTATTTGGATCTTTAATTACATCGAAACAAAGTGATGACAGTAAAATTAATCTGAGTTAGAACTATAAAAACTCATGATATGTCTTATATTTTGGAGGCTGCTAGGTAGAACTATGCTGTGCTACTTGCTATGTGCTTGATGAGCGTCTCATACACAGCAGGTGCTGGACAGAAGACGACTACTGTTCCACCCTTCCGAGTGCTCCCTTAACCATCTGTTTTCATTCTCAATATTCCCTCCGTCCGGCAGGGGTCCCCATGACAAGCCATTCAGACAGTTTGTGATCTTTGTCACCGTCGCATCGAGATGTTGAATTCTACCAAAGTCAGAATATGTCTTGAAAGTGCCCTAGCCAAGGTAACCTACTGCTCTATATAGAGTCTCACTTGTTTTGATGTTTTGATGACTCGATCTAATCGGCCTCTGACTGCCAATAATCGGTCTGTAATATCGTTCCTGTCGTCGTTAAGCATTTCCCTATGTTCCTTGTAGCTGTGCCAGAACTGAGGTAGACTAACGTGAATTGCCTCGGTTGCACTTCTGTTGAGTTGCCGACGTATTGTGCCGATAGGCCAGCATTCTCCAACGTTTCAGACGGCAGGGTGAGCCCTTGCATGTCCGAATCAATGAACTGAGTATTCTCAGCCGGCAAGCTACTGGCGAAATATTGACTGCCGTGTTTTCGGGCGTCCGGCGAGTTTTCGGCCTGTCCAAGGTGACCTACTGTGGACTGCTGGTCCCGTAGTCGTTGTCTTCCATATGGCAAGTAACCCGCCGGCTGACTTGTCGGCTGTGACGGACGCTGGGACATTTTGAGCGAAGGGCCAACGGCTAAAGTGTGCAACAGTGAAAACCTCTTGGGGCAAAGACGATTGCTGTTTGATGCAGACATGGTCAGCACAGATCCGAGACGGCTCAAAGTCACTTATAGTATTGCGGCCCTGATCCGCCGTTGCGGAAAGCAAGACGATGGGCTTGCATTACGGAGTGGCCGCCAAAACTCCCATTCAGCATAAAAACGGGATTAGTATTATGTCGCGACACGCTCAACAGGATTCGCTTGGCCGCGCAATTACCTCACAATCCTTTCGGTACCGCCAGCCTATGCATGATGATCTTGCGATCCACTCCGTCACGAAGGCGCAATTACGGATAATCGCCGGAGAGGATCTGCCTTCTCCAGCCAACTTGATAACTGCAATCATATCCAGTTCGGTGGCTTTTCTGTTTGTGTGATGGATCAGAAACTAGAAGTGGAATAAGGCGCGAACATGAGCCAGGTTCAGGCAGGGGAAGCCCTCCGCTGAGGTATCTAATCCAGTCGCTCATGACTCGAGCCCAGGCCAGCCTCTCTGTTGGGCGGTGATATTGCTGCGAAGGGACAATCACGAAAAGCGGGGCGGAAGTTTGACAACTGCTCGCCTTCTGTCTGCCTCAAGGAGCAAATGTTTGATTTAATCCTGGTCCTTGTCATTCGCAACCCTAAGCCGTGTTGGTATCTATCCACTTTCGATGGCCCGTTGAACCAACAAGATCATCTTGTCTTCCAATTGGTCGAAGTCGTTCCAAGGGCCTGCAATTCCCGTAATACCGACCCGGCCAGACTGCAGTTGACAAAACTGATGCCACCTACCTTATCTGACAGTTCCAAACAAGGGATCAAGAAGTCTAGGACCCTCCAGCAGAACCCTGATCTCCAGGGTCCTCGCTTTGGAGTAATAACAAAAAGATACTTCACGCCGTTTTCCACCTCGCCACTGAAAGTCGTATTCACTGGAATCTCATTTGTTTTGGGGGAGTATGTGAGTAAGCGAGGTCGAAACGATAGAGACTTAGATCTGCTGCTACCTAGTTGCAATTCTTGATCTGCCCGTTGTTGGTACCCTGTTCGATTCCTGTCTACTTCCCAACCTGGATCCTTGTCGGACGTTTTGCATGGGCAACAGCGCCGGTGGTCCTCGGCTCCGTCACACCCTCCGATTTGCTTGTCTTTCTACAAATTGCTTTTTTTTTTTTTTTTTCTGTTGCCGACGTCAAATTCAGCTGCAACGAATGCTAGACATTACCCCCGTCGGTTCATAGAAACACCTACTTATAACATGAATAAACACATCGCAATCGATAAGCCGTTCTGCTCTAGTGTTGCCTTACCGCGTTCCTCGTGCATTCTAAAGTTTCTTGCTCCCTTCATCATCGCACGCAACACCATGAATTCCGATGTCTATTACAGCCCCAAAGAGCCAACACTTTCAGCAGATCACAACGGCCACGTTTCGAAAATAGTAAGCACCCCTTACTTGACAGAATATTCAAGCAGCCAATCACCCTATTTGCCTGATGCGACAGAGAGTGTTGCGGGCAAGCTGAGAGGTAAGAGAGCATCTACTCTCAGCGGTAAGAAGCGACGAAACGACTTACACACCAAGGCTTCCGTTCGGAATTGTCTCCGCGTCCTTCGTCCCCCTCACCCAGGCAACTTCAAGTGAACCTCCCACGGCTGCGCGATTTAGACATTTTCCATCCAGCTAAAGCATCAAACTCCACGACCTCCATGACCTCCTCCATGACCTACTCGCCTCGTCTCGTCGGATCTTGTGAAAGCTTTCCGAGACCCGCTACGCTCTCATCGGATACCCAAAGTCCCATACCATTGGCGACAAACGGATGCTGTAACGGCCTCCCTCTCTCCAATGCAACCCCGCAATGCCAGCATCGGTCCCAGAACTCGCCATTGGCCGTCGAAGGCTGTCTTCTCAACTGGCTTCCGGCAAGCCCTCAAACCAGCGCACCGGCCTCGCGTCGGCGTCGTCGTCCAACAAGCCGTCCCCATTGCAACGTGAGGTATACTTCGGAACAACTTGATTGCATTGACAACCTTCACGGCAGCGGTCTATCTTGGGAAAGAATTACGGAAGAGTACAACGCCATGTTCCCCAGCGACGCCGAGAAAGGACACGAACGCAGACCCCAGGGCCTCCAGGGTGTCTTTTATCGCAGAAACAAGCAGGCCTCTATTTAAGAGAGAGTGACTACATGATAGCGTTGGTTTATTTTCTTTCAGACGGAAGTCACTACAATAAGTTTGTTCTGCAGCCCGAAAGATGCTCGTTTCGAACACCTCTCTGCTAGATCCAATCACAGACCTTGAAAAAGCTATCCAGGTTCTCATCCTAGGAGGCCAAGGACTTACGTACTCAACTGACAGACTGTCTTGCCTGATGGGAAACAGGGCTACCCTAATTTGGCAAGGGGCTGCTAGGGCCAGGAGGTCCTTCAGCGCAGGAGGCGAGGCGGGTTGTGGGAGACCCTTCTCATTCATGAGGGCGTGTGCTTTCAAGAATACTATAGTAAGGTCATGGCGCCATCGCTGCCGGTGATCCATCTGAACTTCCCTAGGGCTGTAAAGTGGTACCACCCACCACACAATCAAGGGCCATCCCCTGACCCGGGTGCTCCGGTAAACGCAGTCTGCCACGTCATTTTGAAGGCTTTGTGTTGGAACCAGGATGTGACCTCTAGAACATTGACAGTGATTGAATAAAATCAGCACTTGGAATTGGGCCCAGGGTTCCTGTGGTAAGGCCCCGCTTGTTATTAGATCCACAATCAAATTTACATGACTCGCTCAATCAATCCTCTTCCGTTTTTACGCTATGCCCTTGTGCCTGTTTTATGATAGGCTTCGACCAGGGTGTACGCCGTACAGGCTGATGTTTTGAGGGGGGGGGGGGGGGGGGGGCGGGATGGGAGGAATTGCACGGGCATCAACTCCGAGATTGGACCGTTTGTCAATCTGTTACCCAAACCATCGGCCCCCTGTCAACCTCGTCTAGATATTGTTGCTTGCAAAATGTGATATGCGGGATGAGCGGAGGGTAAGGTGCACGTTTTCGTTCCAACAGCAACAGTAGTGTGAGAATCCGGACCAATGTCCCCTTTCTCCAAGAAAGAGAAAAGTACAACAAAAAAAACGAGTTGTTCCAGCCTATTGGTAACGAATGCGATTGGCACGCTTGAGATCCGTTTCTGCTGCCTGAATCATGGCACAACATCGTGGCGTCTATGTCTCGTGCCGTATTAAAGAGTAAAAGCACTGTCCTGATTGTATGAACAACGACAATACCGAACGTGCCAACTTTCATCGTCGTTGGCCGCAGACTATTGTCTATCCTCTCTGACAACGTTGATTTGTATCACTGCTTCGAGAGTGACGTCATGTATCCATCTCGGCAACGTGCTCGGCGGCCTGGCCAATTACGGTACAGGCGTCAATCCTCCCGAAATCGAGTCCGGCATTGTGACGCCATTCCTACAGCGCAACCGGTCCAAGCCCTTCAACAGAGGGCAAGTCTTACCCGCGACAGCCTGGTTTATCCGAGAAATGTCACCGAAAACCCATTGATATCCCCCATATCAGACCCCCTTTTCGAAATCAATGGCCCACATGATCAAGACCTCGGCAAATATGAGGGTTTTGAGCGTGCGCCTGTGTTAGTAACTACTTCCTTACTAACACACTGACAGAAGGCTGACAACCTTAGGTTTACACTAACACCTCCGGCGATTCAAGAGCCGCCAGACGTTTGGTTTTGCTACATCATAGCTATAGAAAATGCTGTTACCAAGATGGAAAAGGAAAACGAGAAACATCTCAATGCCATTGCGTTGCTGTAAGTTGAGCGATTACGCCACCGGAATGATGCGGCCCTGACGTCCTGTGTAGACATGACGAGCTGAAATCCAAGGTGACTACGCTTGCTGTTGCCGTCGAAGACACCGCGGCCCTAACGCCAATTTGGGATGGAATGACTGAGTGGGGCCAACAGGAGCAATGAAAGCAAATTCTGTACTTAGCTTTTGCTGCTTTGTTATGTGTATTTTGAGCCGGGACATGGCGTTGCATTCTCTTTGGCTTTTCTCATCTAAACAATCCGTAATGCGAAAGACTTTCGACAGAAATATCGTACTACAGACGGATACAGATTCTACTTGACGCATTGTGAGGCCAATACTCCGTGTAGACAATCAAGCAGGGCATATTCCGATTTCCAATCGTTTTCTGGCACTTCTTTGCTTTGCCAAGCCGGCAGATCCTGGTCTTGACGCGTTGACCATGCAGTGGAAATGACAGCCCGCCAATTTTCTGCTCGTATCCAGTCACGTGTCGCTCTTCGGCATCCACAGATCCGCGCAGTTTGGCCGTTAGCCTGAAACTTGTGGGTAATAAGGTTTACGCCGTTACCAAACTGTCGGGTCGGATCAGGGGTTGGCGTAGGGGGCCCTTTTGATTTCTCTTTCCCGAAAGAGAACGCAAAGCCGTCGCCAGCGAGGTGGGTCAATAAAGGGTCTCGTCTCAAAGGGTCCAACATACATGCAACAGGTGGACGACAACCCTTGTCTTTCAATTGCAACTGGAAGTAGTTTCGCTCCCATAGCGGAGCTATAGTTCAAGTCAGCACTTTGTTAGGGCCTATCGTTTCTCAAAATGGCACTTGGCAACAGGGTGCTGCATACGTCAACAGTCACGTGGGGTCCACCTCCACTAAGCAAACAACGTCAAATTAGGATGGTCACTGAATATTGTCACCTTGGCCAGAAACATGGAGCCGACATACTGCACCATCAAACGTCAAGGGTAGCAAGCTAGTTCCGAGCGCGAATCCAGACCCCGCGGTACGTTGTATTGAATACCCGCCAGATCTTTGATAGCTTTGGGCTAACTTGCCTATACTGGGAGTCTCCACTTACGTTCTGGCGCTAGCTGCCTTCCAAAATGCAGGCAAAAACGTTATTTAATCAACCTCGTCTAGAAGACTAATCGCGTCTCGGCTTTTCCTGACTGAAAGGTTTGTTGGTTTGGTCCCCCGCACGACGGACCACCAGACAGTGACAGTGGGACTTTACATGGGTATACGCCAGTCACCCTCGTCGTGTCCCAACGTCCTCCCTTTGACCGACGACACCTGGCCAAAGTTGCTCTATTGCCGAAAGTGAAATTGCACATCGCTCCATACTGCTGCAGTACTCTTAGGGGCCAAACCAAGTAGGCTTTATTGTGTTTAGCAGCTGCCAGTTGGATTCTCTAATCGAGTCACAGTTGGAGAAGACCGTCGATGCCGATGTAGGACATCACCAAGAGGGACACAAGCACGTATGCATCATGGGCCTTTGGCCCTCTAGGCTCATATGACTTTTTGTCGTGCCAAACGATCCTCCCTCCCTTTATGTCGAGGAAGCTCTTGAGCGCTCTGGGACGAACGTTGACTCCACGAACTAATGCACTAAGCAGCCTCATCCTCTCGTCACAATCACATTCACTAGGTCAATATTTCCCCTTTTCAACGGAGAAACAAATAGAAGCGGTCGTATTACAGTCTATCTCTACCACTATGACGATTGGGACTATCGATCCGACCGCGGAGCAATCCCATCCAATGCTTCGTTCAGCACAGCTATCCTGCCCTAGGTCGACGGTTTTAAGTATGTGGCACTTTCCATAGGATTCGTATGGCGAAATGAAGAAGGTTGAGGAGATTGACGATAACGCTGAGATAAATAATAAACCAAAACGCCGTCATAATGCAGAATAAGGTCGGAGCGCAAATCTGTGTATGTAGTGAAGATCCTCGTACAAGCAAGATGCTTTTTGTGGCAAATATGCCGAATTGAAGAGACGGCTTGCAGGAAAAACTGATGGTGGGTAGCTGGCGAGATGACCAAGGCTCATTGTTGGGAAGTATGGCAATTGGGAAAAAAAAAAAAAAAAAAAAAAAGAAAAAAGAAAAAAGAAAAGAAAAAATTAGGCACATCCAGACTGTGGCTAGAAAAACGTCGTGCTGGGCGGAACACTTCGCGGTCTAGGCTACTTCCTAGCCAAAAACGCATGGCACAACTGGTGGTTCAGAGAATTGAGTCAGCCCCTGACCATGTACTGTACTCCGTAGACAACAATGGACCGCGTTCTCGGCTCCACGGTCCGCAATCGAGACCAGTGTGGGGCTAAGTGACTTTAAAGAATACTAAGTCAGTTATGGATCGCATCGTAGGGAGTATTTTTCGGCTGGATGTGCACGCCACGAGGAGCCAATTCTAGCTCCAGGTCAGGAAGCCACCCTCTGCAGTGTGAATGAAGACAGGGAACTAGAAGCAGGTCCAGAACATCACGCAAAGAAACTGTAGTTGCTAGAAACGCTGAAGAGACGGCAGAAACATGCTAGATACAATTTTGGATCTGTTTGACGAAACCAAAGATGGCTTTATACAAGATTAACCAGCGCCACATGTGGGAGTAATACGGTGGTATCGAAGCAGTCAGTTTAGAGGTCCAAGCAAGCAAGCGTTAGAGACACATTCACTGTGAGGCGATTTCAAATGAACAAGACCATGGCCATTGCATCCCCAAAGAGGATGCTCTACAAGCACGACAAGAGGGCCAAGGATAAGGTCCGAAAGTCTGGCGGCAGTGCCATGAGGAAAGCGATACAGTTAGGCGAGGAAGCCCGTGTGTTTTCGGCCGTCGTCCACTTCAACCCCACATATGGACGTCTAGATGGGGCTGTATACGTCCCCGAAGGCGAAAGCATTCCAGATGTGAACGCATTTGTAAGCTCGGGCGGAAAGCGACCCTTGCAGTCTCGGAGATGGCAAACAAAAAGCTGATGCAAATTCTAAACCAGTTATTGGAACTTCTGAACGGCCTGCACGGCAATAGTCGAAGCCGCGACCCACAACAACGAGCTAAGACGCGACATCAGGACCCACAGGGCAGACAAGATGGCAGCGCAACTCCGCACGACGAAATAATAGTGGGGATTGGCAGCACCGAGATCGCCGCCGCTCAAGCGGAAAGCAGCAAGGAAGCCGATGCGGACGCCGATGTCTCCAACAACATTCCTGTCGACAGTAACAGCGCAGACTGCGTTGGCATTCTAAAAGCTAGCTACGACATGACTCTCATAGCAACAAGAGACACCGACGATGAGACTGATGACAAGATGCAATGTACCAGGGATACAGGAAACGATTTGGCCGTGCATAATGCGGCCCGGCCTGTTGAAAGCCACGAAATGCCCGATGACGCTGTCGTACATGGTGTGGGTGGACATGATGAGTCAACTCGCATGTTTGACGCCGACATGCATGCGATCCTCGAGACGGAGCAGGCTGAAAACAGAGGCCAGACCGAGGGTGTTTCTGATTGGCAAATGGTGGAAGCACAAGATGCGAAAGTCCAGAATCCACGAGTGATGGGTAATAGCCTCGCCAGGAGGAAAGCACGCAGTATGCAACTGTTTTTGAGACAGGTGTCTTTGCGTATGCGGCTTGCAACCCAACAGGAACGGCTTCCGCTACACCGGATCGCTCATCAAGACAGATGGAGGAGTGTATCACAGCTTAGTCAAAGGCGTTGAAACTGAAGGCATTACTAGTGAATTGTCCCGGTTTGTAGTTGTAAGGAGTTTTAAATTGATTCTTATACGTGAAGTCCGCAAGGCTACTCACCCTAAGCTTAACTTAAAGGAAAGAGAGAAAAACTAAAGAAAGAAAAGAAAAACCGTTTCACAGTAATTCTATTAAGCATAGGCCTTGTAGAATCCTCTGATTATTACTTAGTATATTGCCTAGAGGTTGAAGACCTGTGTAGTTAAGCTCGATTGGGACTATGTGCCTTAGTCCCTAGCACCGAGTAGAATTTCTACTATCTTATGATGCCCTTTGCTATTTGCAACTCCCAGCGCGTTCTTGTGATATCCACCTCGAGCGTTGGCATCCGCATTATTAGCAATGAGCGTAGAGACAACTTCAGCGTGGCCTTCTGATGCTGCAGCGTAGAGGGCGTTCTCATTATGGCTGCCTTGTGCATTCACATTTGCGCCACTGCTGAGAAGGATCTGCACAGTTTTGTGGTGACCTTGTGACGCTGCAGCGTAAAGAGCGCTTCCAAATCGGCCCTGTGCGTTTACATCCGCGCCTTTGTCGATAAGCATTTGTGCAGCCTTATGGTGGCCGGTGTGGGATGCAACCTGGAGGGCATGATTCTTCGCATGCAAAAAGCCTTCAGGCTCAGCACTGAGAAGTACGCGTATAACCTCATCGTGACCTCGTAATGTTGCAGCATGAAGAGCATTGCTTTGTTCGTAAATATTCGCACCGTTGTTGAGAAGCATCTGAACAATGACCTGATGGCCTGCCGAGGATGCAGCTCGGAGAGCGCTACCGAGATCACCAGTCTGTGCGTTGACATCTGCTCCGTTGTCGAGGAGAAGCTGGACAATATCGTCATGGCCCAGTTCCGCTGCCAGAGCCAATGGCAGTTTGCCTTTTTCATCTTGCTTCTCGACATTCGCCCCTGCTTCCAACAGATACTTGATTGTTGAAGTCATGTACGGTTCAGTCGAGCGTTTCTTAATAGCCTTTAGTAGGACGAGGCTATTGTCGCGGTTGACCATGTGCCAGTAACGAAGTTTGAAGAGACAATTGTAAAAACGATTCAACTGGATCATGACAAACAGATCCTTTGCTGACTCCTTTCTTGTCCAACCATCATGATAAGCTCATTTGGTAGAGAGATTCCCATTATGACGTCAAGATGAATGTAGTCGATTTGTTGGTGAAGTCGAGTTTTTAGGGCGTCAGCCAGTGCTGATATTGAGAGATAAGGGACAATCAGGACTAAATAGGATATGCTGCCGTTCTGTGACGGATGCAGCCATCGGCAGCTGACAGTCATAATGGGGATCACTGAACCATTGCTAAGGGTTGCCGTATGTTGGTTACTACTTTGCTGTTGGTGCTCCTCTGCGCGATTCCCCGCGATTAATTACTGTTCCTGTACTACTACTGGTAGACGGGTGACTCGGCCCCATAGTCCCCGTTTGCCCGAGTGGGTCACTAGCCAGCGCATGTTGATTGCTGCTACAATGTCGTTTAGTAGACGCACAAGTAACACAAGAGGGAACATAGAAAACGGCTTGCAACCTTTCATAGCCAAAATTTTTTTTTTAATTACCAAAGTCGGCAGGAATCTGTATCTGAATTTGTCTAGTAAGAAAGTGGGAAAGCAGAACAAAAAAAACGGAGAACAAATCGCAGCGTTTAGTTTCCAGGGTGCCCTTGATCTTCCCTACGCGGGGATTATGGCTGTCCAAGGTCAGGCCCTCCTTCCTATTCCAGTAAGGTAGTATTGTAGCTCCACTTCCCCTGCATCTGCTTGTTGTGAATCCGCCGGAACCAAGCAATTAACGAGGCCGGGCCAAAGAAAACTCCCTAGTCACGACGGGCCTACCAACAAGGCCTCAAATGCTAGAGCGAGTCAGTTGATGCAGCTGACATCAGAATCTTGTTTCTGGGCAGCCTTTCGTGTAACAAGCAAGTTCTTTTGAAAACAATCTTGGGCACGATGGGGTCTGGTTTCCTCCCCAATGGGCGCCCGTTGCCCGCTCGGAAGTGAGGCTGGCCAAATATCTCTCCGAAGTGTGTTCGGCGTTGGACAAGGTAGTTGGCAGGGTGAGGAAGCCCCAGGATGAGAGGATGGTGGTTCCCGGATGGGTAACGGATAGGCTTGTGGGTGGGGTTTCTTGTGTAGAGGGAGGAGGGGTAATGTGTGGGTGGATGTGTGGGCCTGTGGACTGATTGATTGCCTGTGTACTCGACCCCCTGGTGAGTTGGCTTGGTGGAGCCTACGTGGCCTACGTCGTTGTCTAGGTTGCCTCCACGCGCAAGGACGAGGACGACCAGACGGTAGGGCTGGTTGTTGAGATAATCGGGTTGGCAGGCTCAAGTGCCCAGCGGGAAGCAGACCGCCGACAACCGATGAGCCTTGAGAGGAGTGAACGTGTCGTGGGTAAAGTCTCGGACTTGCTTGCGGGGAACCCCGGCCTGGCTGATGGATAGTCTCTTGAACATTTGGGTCTTTCTTAACAGCGATAGCCATATTTTGCGACGGCAGGGGTTACCTAGTATTGATAGATAGGTAGAGAAATTTAGAAAACGAAGAATTTGGGCGAGGAAACAGGTTTTAAGAGGAGCAGCGGATGTTGGAAAGTAGGAAGCAAATTCATTCCTCACTTCATGGTTCTTATATCTCAACAAAGCCCACATGGCGATCGAAGCATTTCTCCTATGGAGGCACCAGCATAGCGCCAATGGAAAAAAAAGGTAAGCGGGTAGGAAGCATGCATCCCATGCCTTACGAGTAGCGGATGACTGAGGGCTCCTAGCAAAGGTTATTGTTTGCGTTAAAAGTTGGAAAACTCCGAGCTTAGATGCTATCCAGGGGCGAACCTCCGTGACTCAGTGTATTAATCAAGGTGCTGATGGGAGCTTGCTATCCGACCTACCCTATGGATGTAGGCAATAGGCGTTTCGGAATGTTGTCATGATATGATTGGTCCTCTAGACGAGGTAGCCAAGGGGATAATTGTTCTTTCCCCAAATCAGCCGCGTTGTAAATTGTACTGCTAGTTTGACGTTAGTGATGTCTCGGGAACCGGTTTAGAGATGTGTGAACAGACATTGGTGAAATCTACACACATAGTAAAAGTGGTGCTGGGCAAAGACTAAGACAATTTTGTGTCGTCTGAGTGGGAGTGACAATGATTGGTCCTGTACACGAGGTGGTCAAGGGGTTGCCTATGCCTTCCCCAAATGGGTGCAAGGCATATGCCGGCGTAACTTTGATGTTGGTTACGTTCCGTTGACCGGGTGGGGGATAGCACAGAAAGGACCTTCGGAAGGTCTCCACTAGGGTATCGGTCAGGGTGCTACTCAGGATGTGATCAGGGTCTTGTCTTGATCAGGGTCTTGATCAGGGTCTCCGCCCAATTCTGGCACTGGCCAGAGCAACGGTCAATCACTCAACCACGAGTCATGCAACAGCAAATGACGCAAGCTTGGACCGCCTAGAAGGCTCTCCAAAGACCCGACACGGTGGGGATTTGATGAGGACTCGGCTTGCGTAGTGTGTAATCGGATTGAGAATCGGATTAAAAGACAAAATACACGAGTGGGAATCAAGAAGAATGGAAAAAGGAAGATCGGTCTTTGTTACTCCGAAAACGTTCGATCGGCGCGGTAGGTCTTGTTTGCGATACGGCCCTTGTCCTGGCTTGCTGGGTTGGCGTTGAAATGTTTAATCTCATCAGTCAAACATTATCTGGTCCATTCAGTTCCGGGGTTGGCCCCAACTACGGGTATGGGTCAAGTGCCAGCGAGGCAACGCACCCAGCCACGAAGCCGTCACGACATCTTCTCTACTACGGACAGATGAACGGAGTAGCCCACGCGCTGATGTGCCAGAACGCTCCTGGCTGCATCCATCTGTAAGCAGGTTCAACCTTGATATTGCTCTCCTTAGTCGGATTATTAGTGTTGTTCTTCTACCTCAGTGGGCTGCTTTCGACTTCTATTACACTATAGCACCTGCCATAATGCTTCTATGTATAACCTGATCTAAGCTTTCAGCTGATTAATGCTGATCATTCGACGTATTAAGTGCTTTCCTACACTCAATGACACAATGTAGCGAGCTAGAAGCCTTGTGAATCTGCTCCAGCAACAGCCCTGCACTTTGCAAAAGGAATCTCCATTCCAGCTCGGTCCGCTCTTTACCACCCACAGCCAGCATAAGCATATCCATAGCAGTAGATTCCGGCCTTGGAGGCCAGTCAATCACCTGCTCGGAAATAAGCAACTTGCTATCGTCCGCCATTGCGTGGGAAATATTCTGAAGAATGACGCGGGCTACATCGTTGTTATAATCGTGAAGGCAATGACGGATGTAATATACGAATGCGCCTGCTCGCAGGTTAGCAGACACAAGGGCTTCGTACCTGGGTTAAAGCACGATATCTCACCTTTCACTGGCTGCTCCTTGTGCATGTCGATAGACATGAGCTGCAAGCCGGACAGGTTATCCGTACTCTTCAGTTTGGCAATTACAGGTTCTTTGTCCTGCAATATACAACGTTTCAATGACAGACCTGTGGTTTGACAGATTGCCTCAATAGCGTGGCCTCCGCCACCGCCAACGTCAACCAGCAACGGCCTATCGCTGTCTTCCGTACCAGATGCCTCGGCGATCCACGCAAAGCTATATAGACCAGCACCGGTAATAGGCGCAAAGCGATCTAGTGCTTTCATTGCTCGCATAAAGACATCTGCCTTCGTCTGGTCCTCATAGATGTTCCATAGGTTGTTATCAGGCATGCCCTTTGTAAAAGTAAAAGGACTAGGCCCGATGCCGTCCGGTTCTGTCCGTCCATTGCTTTGGAAGTACTCAACGGCGTGACACTGGGACAATCCATAATCCAGCCTAATGAGCAATTAGCCATCGAATCTAGCACTACTACTCAGGCTGACTCTTACACAACTTGGTTTAGGTTTCCGTAAGGGTTTTCGGGAAGAAAGATCCTAGAGCTCGCAGTGTGCGCGACCCGGTCGGGTCCGTCCTCTTCCAGAACACCAGTGGAGACCAGCATGCGTGCAACTCGAACTACTATAGTCAATTTCAAACACATAAATAGCGTCATGTGGCAGCACTTACCTAGAAGAGGATGATCAACGCTGACCAGGTCACTTAACTGGACATAGGAAATGGACTGGCGCAATGGGATGTGTTCGAAGACGTGCCAGCTAAAGAAAAGGTTGATAGCGGCCATTTTATGGCTTTGAATATTATTCACCTGCCATTGGTCTTCCGGTGGCGTTACAATGCTGCATACATCTCCCGCGATGTTGACAATTCTAGACTGCAAAGAAGCCTCTTGCGCTCGACTCATGTTACCACGGAGCGTGTACTCCGCAACGGCACCAAGCAGGTTTGTCGCTAGTTGTCGGAGCATGTGGCAGTGCTTAACCGACTGTGGCAAAGCTACTGCTTCTTCTTTTTGGTACAGGTTCGTCGCTTTAAAGGTATGCATCTTACTAGAGTAATAAGCCGTGATCCGAACGGATCATTCTATTCTTTTCCAAGACCAAAACACTGATTAAGTATGATGACACTGTAATAGGCCCGCCCCACTTAACATGGCCTATGGGGTGGCTAAGTTAGCGGTGACGACCACGTTTGGGGACAGGCTTCAGCACTGACCCTGAATACTGGTGTGTGTCCAAGAGAGTGAGCCGCAATCAGCAGCATATTCAAGCCGCAAAGAGCTAGAACTCCATAACAGAACACTCTATAGCAAGCCAAAACAGGCTCTCTCAAATTGAAGCCGCGAACAGTATTCCGTGGTCCACCGAGGAGTTCGAAGTCGGTCTACATGTCCTCGTGTGTGAAAAAGCTTCTGCTCACAGATACGTGTGGATCCGTTTGCTGACAAGGAAACATAACGGGATCTTCGTAGTACACTGTTGATTGTCTAGGAGCAGGGAGCTAGAACTGGCTTTTTCAGTATTGTCGAAGTTCGGACCCATGTTCCACAATCAAAGGTCCACAGTTAGTAGAATTATGCAAACGCATGGTCGACTTTGTGAAATAGCTTACTCTCTTACAGCATGTCTACAGTACAGTACTTGAATTACATAGCATCGCTTTTTATTTTTATTCTCAAAAATTGATTTGAAACTTGCTGCATATAAACTTGCACGCTGTCCATCCAATAGCAGTGTATATCCTTCAGGTACACCTTAGCAAGTGTGCAGCGGAAACATGGATCGTCAAAACAATCACACAGTAGACATTCTCATTGTCGGAAGCGGCGCAGCCGGCTTAGCAGCAGCTGCTACCGCCACAATCTCTGGGTTGAACACCATGCTCATTGAGCAAACCGACAAGATCGGGGGCACGACCTCCTACTCCGGAGGCACGATATGGATCCCCGAAAATGATATCTCCAAAGAAGCCGGCATCGATGACGATCGCGAAGACGCTGCTCGATATCTAGAGGAAGCTCTAACTGCGAACGGAGGCGCTGGGCCAGAGTCCGGCTCTAAACGCATCAAGGCTTTCCTCGACCATGGTCCTCGGATGGTAGATCTTCTCCGCAGCTCAGGTTTCAGATGGGAACCCTCCCCTATCCCCGATTATCACCCAGAGATGAAGGGCGCTATGGTTATGGGCGGGCGTACGCTGGACCCGAGTCCTTTTGATGCTGCGACACTGAAGAGATGGGCTCATCACTTACGCGAAGCCGGGCATTCTGCGCCAGTGACATACTTTCACGACTTCTGCGTCCTCACGCAACCTTACGCATCGATTGTTGACTTCTTTCAAGCCTACTGGATGCGATTCCGGGGATGGGTTCGGAAGAAAATGATG